CCGCTCGCTGTTTTTCTATATTTTTCTAAACATTTTTTTCGGCCGGAAATCGCCAGCAATTGCACGTCCCACGTCCCATGTGCGTGTCATCCGAAAAAAACCACACACATACAACACACACAACTGTCTGTATGCGTTTTCCATTTCTTGTTCTTCTTCGGCGTTTTTCTTCTCCGTTTTCCCTGCATTTTCCACTGTGGAATAACAAATAATTAGCATTAACCACGCAATTGAGTCGCGGCGACGCAATGTTGCATTTAATTTTTCAGTCGGGAAAAACGCACTCATGCACATGGAATACGGCTGGAAAACGACGGGAATGGTGGGTGGAGAGACGATAAAAACATTGCTGGAAATGTCAACAAAAATGCAGAAGAGAAGACAAACACAAAAGTAAGAAAAGAAGCAATAGAAAAACAGAATACCAAAAGGAGGGGGAGAAAGAGACTTTGAGCTGGAGGAGTTGGGGGAGAGCGAAAGAGACAAGTGAGAGAAGGTGGAGAATGAGGGGCAGCGCAATAAACAGCGATAGCGCATAGTCGCCATCTTTGGCTTCTTTCTTGGAAGAAGGGGAAATTGGTAAAAACACAAGATTCTTTCCACACACACACACTCACACAGCGTTACTCCCTCATTTGTTGCATGCCTCGTGGAGTGGCGTGTTTTTCGTATACTTTTATAGGGTCTTTTCTGAGGGGCCTGCACCAACAAAACTGGAGTCGCCACATCACGATTTTGGCCACGATCGTGCCGGGCTGCGCCCTCTACAAGAAATTCAAATGCTGGCCACGCAGCAGCAGAAGCAGCAACAGCAGCAGCAGCAACAGCAGCAGAGATTGCATAATTGCCACGACAGCAGTGCTCGATCATCGAACCTGCCATTGAAATAATCATTTGAAAGGCTTTTTAAATCATATTTCTTGGAATTTAAATATTTAAGTATAATAAATATGCATGATTAATGTGAAAAAAAACTCCAACTGGAATGACCGACCATCTTTTTGGCACTAAAATACTACCTATTAAGTATAATATTATATTATAATTATACAACAAATACCTATTAATACTTTTAGCAAATATTTCCATCATTTATACTAGCGTCAAAATCGCACAATTTCGTCCCTGACCCTCTTAGCTGCATCTATTTATCATTATCCCCAGGACTGCGACTGCATGCAATGTATCTCATTATTGAGCGTAGCTAATTTGCCCGCAGAGGTCAAGGAGTCAATACAAGGGCCAGTATTTAGCGCCATCTCGCTCTGGCACACGTCGCAGGACGACCAGCAGGACGACCCGCACTCCAAAAGACAATACAAATACAATGGCAAAGGAGATCCTGGCAAACGGAAAGTGAAACCAGGATCGATAGATAGCGAGCGACTGACACACGTTCTGTCCCTTGCACAATGGCCTTCGAAAATGCGACAAATTCAAACAGTTTTTGTTTGGGTTTTCAGTTTTTTTTTTCTCCATCTCGACATCGTATTGTTCTGAGTTTTGAGTCAAAGTTCCCAGACGACAGGCGACATCCTTTGTAATTGGATCCTTTTACGGCCCCGAGATCCGAGATCCCTGCGCGTGTGAAGCGCGACGACTGCGCGTATATCTATTTTCATGTTCATTTTCATTTTCAGTTTTTTTTTCGCTCTATAAAAAACAGTGAAACTGAAAACGAATCCGAGGGATACTTTTCCTTTTCCACCCGCACTTCTAAGGGTCGCTGGCTATGGCGTTCGGCGTGTAATTTATGCCAAATATAGCCGCGATAGCAGCGAATGTTTGTCGATTTTTTTTTTTTTTTTTTTTTTTTTGGGTGTTTACAGACATCACGTTTTCCCTGTCCTCTGTCCTTGTTTCCATATGGAAAAGTGACAGTTGCAGATCCGCCAGGCGATAAGAAAAGTCTGTGTCTGGGGGGCTCCCAAGGATAACGAATTTTCCACCTTTTCTCGGTAAATAAGATCGTGCACAGGGACAATTTTTGGGGAATTTAAATGAGGGCAGAAAATGGGTTTGTTTTTAATAAATAATAATAAATTAATAGTAATAATATAATAAATTTATTATACTTTTTAAATATATTTTAAAATTTTTAGTAGTTTTTTAGAATATGAACGGGTTTTAAAAGGTTTTGAAAATACTTAAGATAAATAATTTAAATATTTATTACGATTATGTTTAAAAAAAAATTGACTTAAAATTGCTTAAAAAATTATATAATTCTTGTACACATATTTTATATTTAAATATATTTGTTTTTAACAGAAATAGTCAAAATACCCTTAAAAAATCCATTGAAATTAAATAAAATTATATTTTAAAATATTAAAACTATATATTTTTATGTTAATTCCAAAAGAAAATCTAAGGAAACCTTATATAAATATAAAAAACCTTCTTTTCCCTTCGAAAACCAAGAATGTCATCGGCTTAAATGGATTTTCTTCTTCAAAATCCCGAAAAAAATGTTCTCAATTTAATTTTTTTGTTTTCCTATTTGCGGGGGAAAATGCGTAAGGCCAGGACACGAAAAAAAGAAAAAATATGGCCCACCCTTGGAAACCGCAACGCGAAAATTCAGTAGAGCGGGAAAACACATTGCAGGCAGCGCACATACACACAGAAGCTCCGCTCCTCCGCGCCTGTCGCATTTTTAACGCTTTTTAGCATAAACAAGGACATCTATGGGGGGTTGGTGAATATAACCAAAATATATATATATTATAGTAAGGTTTCCACTGCAGCTTTGGCTTTATTTTCCGTTTTTTTTCGGTCGTTTTCAACCCCTGGACGGCGGCTACAAAAAATTTGCATGCGGCCTGTCGCGTCGTTCTGCTGCGAAATTGCCAGATACTTCCACTTCCACTTTTTAGTGCCACATCCACTTTCTGCTTACACTTTTAATAATGCACAATGCGTGTGTGTGTGCCGGGTAGGGTGGTGTCTTTGGGGTGTTTTCGATAAGTACTTTACGACAGACAACCCTCGTTTTGCGGATTTTTTTATGGCCCTCCTTCAGGGGCGCAACATCAAAGTTCATATCCTGCTTCCGGGTGGAAGTTGGAAAAATTCCCTCTCTGCCGGAGTTTTTACTTTCCCTGGTGGTGCAAAAATGGAAAGGTAGGAAAAACGCTGGCTGGCATTGGCTGACTCTGTGCGAATTTGCAGTTTGCAAGGCGAGTCCTTGGCCTTTTGGCGAATCGCATTGGCGATTTTGCAAAGTTTTTGCCAGGGTTTTAGGGGTTGTCATTGACGGGGTGGTGACTTTTTGGGATGAGGTCTCAGGATTGGCGAAAATACAGGGGGGAAACCAATAAGGAACGTCCTTTATAGGGGGTTTTTGAGAAGAAGCTTATCAATAAGGTATAATATTGAAGGTTTAAAGGGTTTTTAGCTACTACTTTTCATAGCATCTTAATTGTCTTTCATTAAAAATAACATAAAATGTCATTGAAGGATAGATTTTGATTTAAATTTTAACTTTTAACTTATGGTTTTATGGCATTTAATGGCTAAAATAATTACTGAATATATGTTATTAAATTTGACTTTAGTATAATTATAAAATCAATGAAAAAAAAGACCTTAAGGCACTGTTAAAATGTTTAAGCCATTTTGAAATTAGCAGAAACCATTGTCAAAATTTGCAACTAATAAAAAAAGATGTTCTTCCTTTTTAAAAATGCAATAAAAAAATTACCTAAAAATATGTTGATAAAAATCAAATAAATCTGTAAAATATCCTTATTATAAATACTATTATTTAAAACAAATTAATCAAGTTTTTAGAATGTTTATAAATTAATAAGATAATCCAAACATCTGCTTTCAACTTAAACCTACAAATCAAAGATTTTACTTATTTACAAAAAAATTTGCATAATTAAAATCCTTGCCAAAATAGGAAAGGATATTCAAGAAAGGCTGGACCTTCATAGGTAACCAAAACCCAAGCCTGTTCTGAAGAATTAACATAATAATCAAAGCAAATCAAAGGACGCAGGACCCTTTTTGGTTTAAAATATATGCAAATGAGCGAAAATCAATCGAAGGCTAAATGAAAATCGATCAAAATTGATTTGTTGCCCGGTGTGCAGAAACCCAAACACTGTCCCAGCTACTGCTGCACCCTTTGATCACTTAGGACTCACGACTCACTCGCCAGGACATTTCGGCCGAAGGAGCCGCCGAAGAAAGCGTGAGAACGTCTCCTTTTTGCACGCGTGATTTACATAATTTTTCGTAAATGTAAATTGCATGCACATCTCATGTCCCTATGCAAATGAGCGGCGACTATAGCCGTCCCTGTTCAACCCCCTGCTGCCAGGCAGGACTCGTAAGGACTCTGGCACTCAGGTGCGAGCGTGTCGGCATGCTGTGAGCAAGGCGCCGTCCACTGTGCCCTTAATTAACCCCTGTCTCTCTGCGGCATTTCCCTTTTCCCCTTACCATTTTCCTGCCCATTTTTCTTCCTTTGGTTTTCACTTTCTCTCTTCCTCGCTCCCTCTGGTCTTTTGGCAGTCTTTCGCAATAGCCGAGGCTTCTTATGCAAATGAGAGTGCCGCATCCTCACCCCTTTTTTTTTTTTGCCAAGTGAAAATCTTATGCAAATTTTCCTCTCCTTCCGCTGATCTCCGCTCCAGTTTGACTGCAATGCGCCTCTGGGTGTCAGGTAGAGTGCGAACATCCTTTAGCTGCTGCTGCTCAGATCGTGAGAAAGTTGGAAAATTTGCATAATTTTGTCGTGAAAATTCGCCGGGGTCTACGTGATCACAGCAAAGACAGCTGAGATATCGAAGATCCCAAGTCTCCCAACACAGATTGCAATTTTTCTTTATCATAGAGAAACAGGATTCCTTTACCAGCTATATTTATTATTGTTACAACATTATCTGGTTTAAAAGAGTTTTTTTTTGGGTGTAATTAATATTTAATATTTCATGATTTGCTTGGTTTTATAACATTCAAGGAAAATTAATTATTATAAATATTATTATAGAAACAAATCAAAGTTTATTCCTCGTCAGAGCTGCTGCTGTCACTGCTGCTACTGCTGTTGCTACTGCTACTGCTGCTGCTGCTGCTGCTACTAATACACAGATCGCTGTTAAGGGGATTCCCCGGCGTCAGGAAGAGGGAACTCTGAGATTTTTTCTTGCCCTGCTTAGATTTCTTGCTGCCAGAAGTTGCAACGTTCCTCACAGCTTCTTCATCACTGCTGGTGTCTGCCAGAGTCTTTATCTTCTTTACATTCTTTGGCTTTCCAGTGGGTTTTGGCTGTACAGGATGATCTTTACCATGGCCACCACCACCATGTCCATGTCCGCGGAATTGGCCTCCGTTTTCCTTGAGGATTTGGGGGGTCTTGTTTACAGGTAAGCGGCCTCCGGGTAAAAATCTTCCTGGTGTTCTTGGTATTATGTTGGGATTGACTGGGGTCCCAAAATTTGGCAGTTCGGGGGCTTTGCGGATGATTCGGCCTCCAGGGTTAATAGGAAACTTGCACCTGGGGGTCTTGGGTGTCGCGGGGATCCTCTGGCTGCCTCGATTTTTCGGTGTTTCGGGCATCCCCTGGGCAAATCTGTGTTTAGGTGTCTGAGGCATCCTTGGGAGTCCATATTTCGGTGGCTCTGTCATCCTCTGCTTTCGATTTGCAGGTATCTCTGGCATCCTTTGGGCTTCATATGTAGGTGCCTCTGGCATCCTCGGTCCTCCATGTTGCTGTTCAGGCATCCTCTGCACTCCATATTTAGCAGTCTCAGGCATCATTTGGCTTTGATTTTTGTGAGCCAGAGGCATCCTTTGGCTTTGATTTTTGTGCGCCTGAGGCATCCTTTGCCCACCATTTTTGGGTTCCTCCTCTTTTGGTTGCTCGGACATCATTTTACCTCCGTTTTTTACTGGCTCAGACATCCTTTGGCCTTCGTTTTTGGATTTTCCTGCCTTGTGACCTTTGTAACCTGTCTGTATAGGCTGCTTTAATACAGGTGTTGGTGGTATATTCGGCTTCGGGGGCGACTTGGCCTTCTTTTTAGGTACTTCGGCTGCGGATTGTCTGGCTTCTGGCTGAGGAGATGGCGACTTGACCCTCTTTCTGCCCCTCTTCTGATTGCCATTGTTTTTGGGATTATTTTTATTTTTGTCATTGGTCGGGGGAGCGGCATTCTTGCGGCGACTAAAGTTGATGCGCTCGTTGATATCCGTCAGCTGGGACTCGAGACTGCAGCGGAGACCCTCCTTCTCCTCCGGCTGCATGACCCGCAGATTGACCTTGTTGTGAAGCTTCAAGGCCCTGTTCACGGCCGCCTTCATGATGTAGACATTCGTCAAGTCAAAGGTGTTGAGATCGAAGCTTAAGGCACCGCCGCTCTTCTGTCCTAGATTCTCGACGGCATGGACAATGCTGCATATTTCCCGCATGGCCGAGGCGGGAAGTGTGCAAAACAGCGTTTGTATGTTGCGTCGCTCCTCGGCTTCGATAGGTTCCAGTTTGGTGCAATCGTCGGATACGAGGGCATCCGGAGTGTCCAGCAGATAGTCAAGGCTATTAGACGGAATGTAGACGCCAGCGGGAACCTCCACCTGTTCCTCAACAATGCCGGGATCCTCACCATTGTTTGGCGAATCCTTGGCGGTAATCGCTAACTCCATGCCATCCAGTTTGGCCCTCATATTTTGCAGAGTTGGACACATTGTCTCCGAGACGGACTTGAACTTTTGAGGATGCTTAATGCATTTTTTCACCCCGTTCTCCATCAAGTCGACGTACTCTCTCATATCACGTATATCCGAAAGCAAGACAGAGGCAGCCGGAAGGGTGTGGGTGTCGTGGGTAAATTTAAAACCTGAAAAGCGGCCGGCCTTATCATAGATCATCTGGCCCGAATCCAAATACTTTTTGAATATGACACACACAGACGAGCAGAACTCATCGAAGGACTTGAAGAACTGCTTGTCCACCTTCGTGGATAACGTGTTCCACTTGGGGCCAAAGAAGTTGCGAGCCGGGCCATCCGTCATATTGGTGACGGCCTGCAGCTCTTTCAGATGACCCTGACACTCCTGCTCCAGGGCCCCGGCCATGGGATTGGCCTTCGTCACCTTAGACGTGGCCATGGGATCCTTGTAGCACGGCACCGGCCTTCCCTTGGGCATGTTCTTCAGCTCTCGCTCCAAGAACCTTTCCAGCTGGCTACACTTGCGATAGATCGGAGTATTCACCCCGTTGAACTGTTTGCAGTTGTCAATAATCAGACGAAAGTCGGCAATGGCCTCCTCCACATCGCGATAGTAGTTGTTCTCCACCCGCTTGGTGATAGTGCCCAAGTCCATGGGCTGGGCAATGACGTAATAATAGTTGGGGATCTGCAACTCCTCGGTGTCCACCGGGTGCATAAAGTCCGTGGCGAATTTCTTCTTGGCTAGCTCGTCCAGCAAGTGCTTTTTGACGAAGTGCAACTGGTTGGTGTACACACCGGCCATGCCTGGCTTGGGCAATACCGCCGGATGGAAGCAAGTGGGCACGGAGAGTTTCACCGACAAGGAAGAATTCTACCAAAAAAAAAAAAAAATGGAAGAACACAAAAAAATCTATTTCTACGAGTTTTCTTGGACGTTTTTCTTGCTAAACTTACCATTTTGCGTAGATTATTCACTTTTCTAACAGATTTTCTTTAATTTCGCGCTTCTAACCACGAGTTTTTCACGGAATTTGGTTTAGAAATGCTTTGGAAAGCTCTTACAGATTTTCAGGGTAGAAAAAAGAACACAAAGAAAATTAGTTGTCAAAGAAGAAAACAGTAAAAAGCGTTGTCAAGGAAGAAAAAAGTAAAAAATGGCCTTCTGAAACACTGGTCAGGAAAAAGTATTGGGAAGTGTTAGCTATTGTTTAGCCGTGGAAATGGCAGGAATTGTCTATTTTCCTGCTTCTGGCCACCGATTTGCCAATTTTAAATACTTAAAAGCATTTCTACCTCATAAGCTTGGCCATTACTTGCCAAGGAAAAGTATTGGAAAGCCTGTCGTATAAAACCAGCATTAATTAGAGGCTTAAGGAAAAACTAGAACCAACAATGGCACATCAAAGGACGAAGGACGAAACAACCAACAGCCCTTGTCTAATATTTTGCACCACTTCACAGGCTTTCAGGTTTTTATATATTATTTCTGGGAGGTGGGGGACATAAAAACTGCTTTTTGCAATTTACATCAACATTTTTATCCACCACCACCAGTACCACCTAGGAGTACAGCAACAACATGCTTTTCCTATTTGCCTACACACGGAAGTGTGTCCCATAAATATAAGGACACACCCACACACCAATCCAACAGCCTCCTGCGTTTGCGTCTTTTTGCGCACTTAATTACACACGCATACGCTTCATTCCACTTTGTGCGGGGGGGTATCACCGCCCCCTTCATCATCCTGGCCAGCCACCGGAGGATGGGCCACCCCCCTCCTCTGCTCCTGTGGGACAGGCCCGTAACGGAAATAGAAACGATGCCAAACGGCTGGAAACAAAAAGAAAATATAATACAAAATGGTAGCAAATATGGTTGCTCAATCAATAATGCGAATTAATAAAGTTATGGAATGATAAGTAATTTTATTTCCATTTTAAAATAAAGGAAATATTAAAGATTTAGTTTTTTAAACAATTAGTAGTTGAATAAGTTAAAAAAAAGTATGTTTTTATGCAAAATATCTAGTGTAATAATTATTATTGTTATTATTATTAATTCTTAGAAACTAATAAAGGGATATTACATAGCCTTACTTGTAAAAAGGTTAAAGATATTATATATTTATATTTTATATTAATTTATTCATAAAGAAGCAATCATATAAAAAAACATTAGCAGAAAATAGAATATAATATCAACAAAATATATATTTTAGATTGGTAAAAAAACGTATTTTATAATCAATGAAAAAATAATAAAAAAAAAACTTGAAAAAAAAAACTTTTTAAGAAAAAAAATTTATTTTAAATGAGAAAAAATTTTAAGAAAGTAACCTTTTTCATTTTTTAAATATTGTGTAAATTGCCAGGCCGTCTTTGTGAAATTATTACAAGCTTTCAAACTTTAACTAGACTTCACTTTTGACACTTACAAAAATATTAACAAAACGTCTGAAGTCCACAAGTTTGAAATTGGAATGACAAGTCTAGACTTATACAGTCGAAACTAAATTATTAAAATAACAAGAAAGAAAGCTAACTTTGGCCAGTCAAAGTTTGTATACCCTTGCAGGTAACAATTAAAATATATCATAACTAAGCCAAAAATGCATTAATTTCGATTCGGAAAGCAGTTTTGTGTTAGTTTTTATTTATTTAAAAAAACTGCATACCAAATTTAAAATTTTAAGAAATCAAAATTTTTGGCCATTTTCGCTAATTTTAATGATGTAACCCCTTATCAAATTTCGCAAAAATGCCCAAAAAATCGATTTCTTCCGGACATGTCTAGAAAGATTCCCCTGTTGATGCTGATAAAGAATATATATGGTTTATAGGGCCTTGACTTAGAAAAATATTATTTTGTATTATAAAATCTGATTTTTTATATTAAAAACCTTCTTGATTTTTTTTAAATTAAAAATGTCATAACTCGGGCATTAATTTTAAATCGGAAAACTGTTCTGCGCTAGATTTTCTACAGTTAATAAATCTGCGTACTTCATTTAAAAATTTTGAAAATTCAATTTTTTATCAAAATCAAAAATTTTAATGATGTAACCCCTTATAAAATTTTGCAAAAATGGCCAAAAAATCGATTTCTTCCTGACATATCTAGAAAGATTCGCATGTTGATGCTGATCAAGAATATATATGGTTTATAGGGTCGGAAACGTCTCCTTCACTGCGTTGCAAACTTCTGACTAAAATTATAATACCCTGCAAGGGTATAAAAATATAATGCGTGTTAATAACAGTAAAATGCAAAAAAACATAAAACTTAATAAACAGAGTCGCAGTTTAATTATAAATGTTTATTGTTTATTTATCCTTAATAATTACAATTAATAAATAATAATAAACTCATTTCCTTTCCCTTCTCTTAGGTATTTGCGGTACAGTCCTGTCCTTGACCAAACTGGCTCCTCTAACTGCGAATTTGTTTCTATTTAAGGACCCCCACCCCTCCTTATGGCACTCGGGGAAAAAGGACGACTCACGCAATCGGCAGACGCAGACGATGCCCCGACAGGTAAGTTCTACCTGCCCTGGCCAAGGTGTCAATGTTGCCTTATCATCCCGGGAGTAGATCCCATGCCCATGCCCAGACCCTGACCTCTTAGCCCCTCCTCAAGGTCCACGTCCTTGTCTATTCTTTTCCCTAATTTTATCTCTGACGGCGATTAATGCGAATAAATTTTATAGACGAAAATGTGCACTCGCATGTCCTTTCCTCTTTGTGTTTTCCTTTCGACCTTTTTCGGTCCGCTTCCCCCCACTCCCCGCTTTTCCCTTTTTGGCTAATGTTTTCTTACTGACTTTTTGTCTGGCTTTGGAGTATGTGACTTCTGCTGTTTGTCTTCGGCACCTGCAGCCGAGGGACCGAGGGACTCGGGGACCTGCAGTTGTTAATTGTTCGATCTTTGAATCCCCGATGCTTACGCGATCTTGCAGCTCTCAGGATCCCTTTTTATTTATTTTTTAGCAATTGCCGCTGACTCAGCAGCCAGGTCCAGTCCAGCAGCATCCTCCCTCCATTAGTTTAGGGCTTGGCAAGGGGATTGGAGAACTGGTAACAGGTACAGGCTGTCCAAGGGGAAACTGGTTTCCCAGCTTCTTACCCTCTTCTATTTTTATATTTTTTTCGTGGTCGCGACACTTGCAGCGATCTCCTCCATTGTTGCGATGTGTTAACCTTAAGCGATTTCTGACTTTAGGGTCTATTGTGTGGCGGACCCTGACTTGTTTCTGATTTTCTGATGGGATTAGAAATAAAGGAGAGTCTCTATGAGGAAATTTAGATACCCTGGAAGAGGGTTTAGGGTTTAAAATTATAGATAAATAGATATTTAATGGTTAAAGAAAATGTTATAGAGCACAAGGACATTTATTATAACCACAAAATAATATTATGCTAATTAGGATCATCAAATTTTATATACAAAACTACCATAAAAATAAAAAAGACCCCCTTAAAGGGTATAAAAATATACCCAAAACAAATAACTATACATATTTCTGTGGGAAAGACCGCGAATCCTGGCTGCAAGGACAAAGGCCATAGCCGATAGCGATCGCTTTTAGGAAAAAGATGCAGGTCTTTGTCAGACTCTGGGAAATGCATGCCTTCCCTGACATGTTTTTCCAGTTTCACAGTTTTCCTCAGTGAATTCGGCACACCCACAAAAATACACAAACACATCCACGCACTATTTATGGACTTCCGTTGAATGGGAATGGCGGAAAAGCTACACACACTACACACACACACATAGTCGCTCATTTTATTCGCGGCGCTCCCGAAAAATACAGAAAAATTTGAGAAAAGTCAATGACCCGCGTGAAAAACTGGGCAAAGCCAACGCAAAGACGTTGAAATGTTGCAATTGCAATTCACCCAAAATGCGCCCGCATGGCGTCCAATAAAGGGAAATTGATTGGGAAATTGTGAAAATAAATTGGAAATGCAAAAGAGTAGGGGAAGGGCAGAGTGTGTGCGGAGTCGGAGTGTGCCTGGTGAAAGTCCAACAATTAAATAGCAAACAAATTTCCGCCAATTATTTGACATTAATTATGATCCGTCAGCGGACGCTGGATGAGGGTCAGTTTTGGGTGGAGGTTGAGGAGAGGGACGTCTTTTAGGCGCTAAAAGGGTTGCTTACCTACAGTTGCGGCAAAAAAAATAGCACCGAGACATATATTTTTCTTTATTGATTATTTGTTTTAAAAATATTCATATATTTAACTTGTTTAAGGCTTTTATTTTTACTTTAGGTTCTAATTTATCGAAATACACTGCAAGTGTCGTCGATAATAACATGAAAATGAAATATTTACATTAAGAATGTGAGCGTTGAACATTTTAGGCGGCAACAAAAATAGCACTATTTCAAAAATAACTTAAGAAAACGAAAAAAAACGAAAAAAAAAAACGGGAAGTTCTGGAATATTTGTATTCATTTGTATTCCTTATCGATATAGTGTATTAATATTTCGTTGTAAAAGCTTTGGCAGCAATGACAGCAGCACAACGTCTCGGCGTAGAATTGACCAAATTTTGGCACCTTTCCCGTGGAATACTGCTCCATGATTCTTGAATGGTGGCCCAGAGCTCATGATTAATCCTTGGTTTTGCATTGGAAACATATTTTTTTACATCAGACCAAAGATTCTCTATCGGGTTTAAGTCTGGAGACTGAGCAGGCCAATCCATTAGGTGAAGGGATCTGTCTTGAAACCACTTAGGAGCGTTCTTGCTGGTATGTTTAGGGTCGTTATCCTGTTGGAAGACCCACAATAACGGCATTTCGTATTCTGCATAAGACAGCATCACTGTTAGCAAAATATCGCAATAGACATGTTGATCCATAATACCTTTTATCCAATGTATTGGACCCACTCCGTAATAAGAAAAGCATGCCCAAACATCCAATGGTCGGATGAAAGCAAAATCGTGCTATTTGGAGGAAGAGGATCTCGATCCTATGTACGGCGACCCCCCAATTCGGAATACCGCCCAAGTTTCACCTGCAAGACCATAAAACACGGTGGAACGAGTATCATGGTTTGGGCATGCTTTTCTTATTACGGAGTGGGTCCAATACATTGGATAAAAGGTATTATGGATCAACATGTCTATTGCGATATTTTGCTAACAGTGATGCTGTCTTATGCAGAATACGAAATGCCGTTATTGTGGGTCTTCCAACAGGATAACGACCCTAAACATACCAGCAAGAACGCTCCTAAGTGGTTTCAAGACAGATCCCTTCACCTAATGGATTGGCCTGCTCAGTCTCCAGACTTAAACCCGATAGAGAATCTTTGGTCTGATGTAAAAAAAAATATGTTTCCAATGCAAAAACCAAGGATTAATCATGAGCTCTGGGCCACCATTCAAGAATCATGGAGCAGTATTCCACGGGAAAGGTGCCAAAATTTGGTCAATTCTACGCCGAGACGTTGTGCTGCTGTCATTGCTGCCAAAGCTTTTACAACGAAATATTAATACACTATATCGATAAGGAATACAAATGAATACAAATATTCCAGAACTTCCCGGTTTTTTTTCGTTTTTTTTCGTTTTCTTAAGTTATTTTTGAAATAGTGCTATTTTTGTTGCCGCCTAAAATGTTCAACGTTCACATTCTTAATGTAAATATTTCAATTTCATGTTATTATCGACGACACTTGCAGTGTATTTCGATAAATTAGAGCCTAAAGTAAAAATAAAAGCCTTAAACAAGTTAAATATATGAATAGTTATAAAACAAATAATCAATAAAGAAAAATATATGTCATGGTGCTATTTTTTTTGCCGCAGCTGTATATGCTATGCTGGTGCTATCAGATCAACCATGAATCTCAATCAGAGGAGCAGAGTTTGTCGGTTATGGTGGCTTGGTTTTTGCCAGCTTTTCCCAGGGGTTTTCTTGTATTACTAAAGCAAGGTTTGTTTACTAAAAGTTCGATTAAAAATTCACTTAAAATATTATTACCATTTCTATAATTTGTTCTCGTGTCTTTGGGCTTAGAACCCCGCTAGTTACTTCTTATTTACTATTTTTATAAATTAGTGCCAAAAAGATCACCTCAAGATTCTACAACAGATCGAAAATCTCTAAAAATCAAATCAATAATCGTTTTCCCATACATTTCCCCCAAGGCGAAATCCCCTTAAATTGGCTGACGTTTCCAGCCAAGAAAATTAATTCCCCTGCACAATATTCAAGCTTGTGTGAATCTGTCAAGCGTTTCTTTCTTTCACGAAAACCCACGAAAAATGCCTCAAGAGTCATTGACTTTGGGGCACTAGAAAAATCGGGAAAAAAGGCCGAAAAACGCATCTGCATGCGGTGCAATGGCCGGTGACGCTAGCCAGAAAATGAATAACAAAAAATAGAAAAAAAAAACGCAGGGCCCAAAACGCCAATCGACCAAGACGCCGCCCCGCCCCCTCTGCGTTTTTCTTCGCTGACCAATTAAGCCATGAGAAGCTGCCCCAAAATGCAATCAAAGAAGGCCGGAGGAAAGCAAAAACCTCAAAATGAAACATTTTTCTCCAAGACCAAAGCCCCGAAGACCTCGAAACGCATTACGCGATGAGGAAAATCGGGTTTAGGCCCGAGACTTGGCTACCTGTGCAGGTTTTTTTTAAAAGAAAAAAATAGAGGCCGCAAAAAAAAAAAAAACGACGAAAAAATAACACCAACAAAGGAAAAGAGAGTCGTGAAAATGTTTTTCTTGCCAGCCAAAAGAGTCAGCATCCCAAGGCGGCCGAAAGTCAGAAAATCAGAGACCAGAGACCCGCCCGACCAGATTTCGTATCGCTGGGACTGGGTTAGGGTTTGGGTTCGGGATTGGGACTGGGATTGGATGGAGTAGGAGATGGGGATTACACATTTTGTGCATTTGCCGAGTGTGTGCGTATTATGACCATAAGTTTAGGGCCTGACCTCGCCGCGAACCCTTGCCTCCTCCAGTGCTGCTGCTGCGCCCTCACCTCTTCGATTGATATAATGCACTGAAAGAAAATTCTAGGTGGATTTCTGTTATTTTTTTTATTAAGGGAAAGGTCCTTGAGGTCATAGTTTAGTTATACATAGTTTCCGGGAAAAACGAGGCCAGGCAAAGCTTAAAGAAAAAGAAAACAAATCAATCATACTGAAAATTTAGTAGACTTTAATATATATATTTAAAATATTAAAAAAAATGCATCCTAATAATTAACAACTATTTTTCTACAGTGTTAAAGTGACTCTTTTTATGGGTTGACAACTTGTAGGCGTGCTGAATCGCGGACGCCTCCCCGACCAGCGATTGGAAATGTTAATGGAATGGCCAGGGGATTGGGATAGGAATTGGGTTCGGCATAGGGATAGGGATAGGGCATAGAGACGACGATGGAATGGGTATAAAAAATCCCGATCGGGATGCACATTTTAAATGTGCAGCGATCTGCAGCGGCTGATAAAGTAAGAGTCGCTTCTTTTCAGGCCAAAGACCTGTTTTATGGCCAAAAAAAAAAAAGAGGAAAAATAAAACGATCGAAACGAAAAACGACAAAATGAAATGCATAAACGTAAATCTCACAGCAGGTAGTCTCGCCAAGATGGAGATGGGATGGAGATGGCACCGGAGAACCTGCAACATTGCGCCGCCAAGATGATGATGATGATGATGACTTTTCGGTCTCCGACGGCGACAATAAATTTCTCAATTTTCCCTTTGCTCTAGATTGCTGCCTCCTGATATATCAGTATCTATATATATATTGTCCTGTCTGCACATTTTATGCACTTGCTTAGAGTCCTTAAAAATCCTTCTAACAACTGCGCACTTACCAGGTGCATAAAGCGAGGTGAATGGTTAATCAGCCAAGGAGCAGGGGGTTCTTTTTTCCTGCAGGCTAAGTTTTTGAGGGTTTCGATTTCTGCGTGGGTGATTTTTACCAATCCTTGATCTTCTCGATTTCCCAGGTTTTGTGTGGAGAAAGGGTTTCCACAGGAGATTGCATAGGTTTGATTGATGGGTACTGAGGATGATGCACTTGCTGGGGGAAAATCAAATATTTGCATCATTTTCTCGAATTTTAATCTGCGGTTTGGCGAGTGTGTGAAAATCTATTTTTCGCCTGCAACCAGCAGAATGCTGATTTTTCTTCCCTTGAGTTTTCCGCTCTTTTTACTTTTCTGCCAATTGCCAGAGCTGCGGGTCAAAGGTCGCTCGCTGGGAAACAACAAAACACAAATAAAAAAATACAAAACTAAATGAGAAATTCAAGACAATTGCCAAAAGCGGGTGCTGATTGTGGTTCGTGGATCGCGGATAAGGAAATATATACTATTTCCCCGGAATAATTTCATTTTTTTTGCTGTGCGTTTGGGCAGCGGATACACACACGCACACACCAGGAAAGTATAGAAAAACACACAACAAAGTGCACCCAAATAGTTATCGCAAACAAGCGGAGCTCTCCGCGTAGACAACAGCACCGAAAAAGTTCATTGACTTTCGCATTTCGGAAATAACACAACGGCAACGCAACGGCAAACGCATCTTTTTAGTGCGTTTATTGCTGCACTGGGCGAAAATGGGGGGTGGGTTTGGGTTAAGGAAATAATTTTATTAAAGGTTAACATATTTAATAACTTAATTGATACAAATTATATTCTACAAACTTTTTATAAAAGCTTTTTTATTATGTATATTTATAGTTTAAATTTAACTGTGTTTTTTTTATATTTACATATTGATACATATTTATTTATAAAAAAAAAATAAAATTATCATTAGGAATACACCCACATTAATGAAATACAAAATGAAAACAATAAATTAAAGATATCTGACATTTTATGTATTTTTATTATAGCATTTTAGCTTTTAAAGTATTTAATTTTAATTTTTAAAGAAATAAAATTATAAATATTATAAAATCAACTTTAGAAACTCCAATAAAACCCTAAAACCCCTTAAAAAATCTTTAAAATCTCCATAGTAAACCCAAAAAGCCTCCCCAATTATTTTCCGTGTGCATTCTCCACACAAAAATAAATATGGCGGCCATGCCTCCCCCCTCTCCCCACTCCCCGTCCCCCCTAAAAAAAACAGCGTGCACAAAAGAGCAAACGCCAAAGAGTGCACACAAAAAATTACATTAAAGTGAAAATGAGCGATAACAACGCAAACACAAGCGCACAAAAAAAAATACAATAAAAAAGCCAGCGCAGATACAGATACGGATACGAGCTCACCCATACACACACACTTGCAGCGCAGCGCCACGAGCAGCAACAACAGCAAACAGCAGAAGAACGATCGACAGCCCCCCCTGAAAACCCCCTTCCCTCATACATGCCAGAGTGGAGCATTCGAGAAAACTGCACGGCCAACGCAGCCATATTTAACACACAGAGAGAAAACAACAAATACCAATGCAATTTATATTTTATACAGAAAGAGAAAAAAATACTACAAAAAAACATGCCACGATCGTTTGAGCGAGAGGGCCTGATTTTTATATCTCCTCCATTGCACTTCGTATAACAGTTGCATACTTGGGGAGCCATATTTTTGAGGGGGGCCATTTCCCCTTCCGCAAAGCAGCCATTGAAAAAATGTATGAATAACCTTCAGCCGAAAAGAATGCTTTAATTTTTAGGATACTTCTTCTACATGCACTTTACCCAGAAATTAATGCTGCCTACTTATAGGCTGACATACAATGGGGGATAAACAGCGGATAAAACGGATAACTTGGGCCTTATGGGTTTAATTTTGTTTTTAAAAAAATTAATTTAAGATTTTTTTGTGTTATAAAATATAAAAATTGTTTTTTTTATAACTATAAGTTATTATATATTTTACATTTTGAAAACTATTTTTCCTGGCCAAATTACACTTTTCAGTTCATTTTTGAAGAGTTTTACAGTAACATACACTCATAAAAAAAATCTCAAAATATTCTTTAAATAAAGAAAAATCTTTCTTCTTTATGGTCAATTTCAAAAATGTATTCTATATAATTTTAAATGAAATAAAAATAAAGCAAATAATAAATATCCATTTTCGGTTTATTCTAAGTTTTTATTGTACACTCACGATTTTAGGGTTTTTTTTTTTCTTGCACTAAAAAAATGTTTTACAAATTTAACAGCGTACATATTTTTGTTAAATATATTATTTCACAGCTCCTGCTTTTCCGGAGCCTCTTTGGTCAGCTTGTTGACCCGAAAGGCCTCCAGAATGTTCAGTTTACGCAGCAGCTCGTCCTTCTTGGACTCCGCCACCTTTCCTGCCTTGAGACGTAACAGACGCTTGGTCTCCTCCTCGAGGAAGTCGTAGCCCAGCTCTCGAATCTTGCGCATGTAAACCAGATAGAACTTGGCGCTCTTTTGCTGCTCCGGATTCTTCATCTTCTCCAGCCTTTCCTCGAAGATCTCGATGAGGGCGGCCTGCTCTGCATCAGGGATATTGGCATAGTTCTTGAGGCCATCATCAAAGTCCTTGATGCAGCCATCGCGGCCTATGTATAGGTCGGTATTAGAGCTCACAAAGGCCTTGAGGTTGTCCAGGGTGATGTCCATGTGGCTGGGCAGGCGTATAAAGTCATCGATGCTGCCTTTGAACAAGAAGATCTCTGGGAAGTTCTTGTCATCCACCTTGAAGCGATCGCCTAGGGCCTGTCAAGGAAAGGTATCGAATTTATTTTAAAATATATTATACCAGAAAAACCTTTTAAAGCTAGCTTAAAACATGTAATAAAATAAAAAAGCAATTCTTGGCAACACAAAAACCTTTTCTTTTTTTTGTCACTTGTTTTTGTCTCGACTACGTAAAATGAATAATTAATCACTGTCTTTCGGGGTGACACTCATGAACGTGAAGCACTTAACTTGGCTTACGATTTGTAAACTTTTCAAACTCACCTTGTTCTCCAGCTCACCATAATCCTTGATGCCCACGGTGGCCACCAGGAGATCCGTGGTGGCCTTATGGGCTGCCTTCGAGAAGGCGCCAAAGGCCTCGTGCTTCACGCCATAGGGAAAGGCTATATCGAACTTGACCAAGGCATAGGGAAACCTTTCCACTGTCCTTTGGAAATTAATCTCGTCCAGGTCCACGCAGCCACCACAGGCCAGGGCCCGGACCGAGGGCAGGGAGTAGTGGAGGAGGGCCAGTAGGAGAGTCACCAAAATCCGCATCATCTTCGTGGCAAAAAAACAAAAAGCAGAGGCTTCTGTGAACTTGACCTTACAGTTGCCGGCTCTCAGCGCCAACTGGCTGGAAATTGTAATAAGGTAAGAGAAGCGGCTATGGCTGTGTTTTCCTTGGCCAGTTTTTTTTCGCTTCGCTCAGCACAATTGCCGCGCTTTGCTTTTGGCTCGCTCTCGGAGCTGCTCTGAAATTCTCCGTAATTCTCTAAAATTCTTGGGCTTCTTTGGAGTTCTTTGGAGTTCTCTGGTTCTCCCTGTTATGGACACTCGATCGAGTTGAATGACACGTCAGTGTTCTGGCCGGGAGGCGAGAGAGCTCTCTCACTCAAAAACCGGCTATGGCTATTCAGTTTTGGCCCAGAAGAACACTCGCACTCTGAGCTGCTGTGCTGTTGGTTCAGCTGTTACACAGCTCGCGGCGGGGAGATTTATTATGTAATGTCTGGCTCTCGACGCGTGCTCCTCGCTTTTGAACGCTTCTGGTCTCGGTATAAATGTGGTTATAATTGTCATCCCGTTTTCAAGGCGACACCGATGCCAAACTGATACACAAGTACCACTTTTTGGGAGGGGAGCTTGTGAGTTTAGATCGTTTTGGCCAATAGAGCGTGCCGCATGAAGCGCGGCAATTATACGTGTGTTTTTTTACTAAATGACAGGCAAAAGGCTGCGGCCGGAAGTGGTAATTTGCAGTGGGACAAGGCTTGGATGTGCTCGGGTACTACGATCTAGAAATACCCTTTCAAAAGGGAGGAAAATAGGGGTTTAATGAGGGTTTTCAATATAATGAAGCTTTAAGTTTTATTAAAAGGGTTTTAAAATATTTACAATAGCAATTTTTTAGTTCTAGTTTCTAACATCTTAAATCTTTAACTATTTCCTATTTCAATCTTTTATTTATGTTTTTTAATTCGACTTAAAATAAGTAACGTTTTCTCTGACATCACAGCTAGTTTTCTCTGGTTCCTCCTCAATTCCCCAGCAAATGGACTTTTATTTTATAGAGGATGTTAGAAGAAAAAACTGGAATGAAAAACACCTGCATGTGGCTGGAAAAACTAACCCCGGTTTTGCCATAATTTTCATTAGCCAGAAACTGAAATTTTTCCGATTACCGGACCAACCTACATACCTCCTCCTTCTCCTGGTTTTTCCTTTCCCCCACTACCCGTGCTACTCCACCGCCTCTTTTGTACTGGTTAATGGACATTTTCGGCAATTGTCAATTAATAATTCATGTGTGCGGCACACATGTTGGCCAGTAGTCAGTCCCACCTCCTTGACGGCCAAAATAGTTGGTTTAGTTTTTCCATTTGCGGTTTCGTTTGTCCACTCCGCTTTGGCTCTACGGAAAATTGAACATCACGGCACGCAATTCGGGCGGAAAAACTAGGAAAGAAGGGGCCAAAAGGGGGTGGTGGCGAAGGAAAAGCGTTGCGAGCTTCACACGATCGATATGGCCTTTGGTGGTAAATTATCTTTTTCTGATGGATGGGCGTGGTGGTTCAAAGGTTCTTGTGGGTGGTGCGTCAGGTGCATGGAAAAGCCCGGCTCAAAGTGCGCAATTTCGAAGGAAATTAAATGCACTAAGAAAAATTAGGTGGCTATTTTGATATAGAAGGAGGATTTCATTAGAGAAAATGTGATTTTTCTTAGATTTTAAATGAGGAAGTGTTTAATTTTTTTAAATATTTTGAATTTTCCTAAGGAAATTAGAATTATTTCTTATTTGATCAAGTGATCCTTGTTTTTTCAAGTGCATTTAGTCGTAGGGAGACCCTAACCCATGACGATCTGGTGGTAATGGGCCCTGACATGCGTGTGTCAATCGCACAAAGGCCCGAAAATTACGCTCTATTTGGAATGCTGACTGACCTCTTTGGCCAGCGCGAAAAAAACTGGAGTCCAAGTTCGGTTCCATGGCGCACTTGTGTTTGCACTTCATCCATTATGCAGCAGCTGCCAAGCAATTTGCTAAGTACACCTAAAAGTACACCCCGAAAGGAGGTAGAGTCCTTGGAAAACATAAACTAGGGTTCGAGGCTAGTGAAGTCTTCAATTAGCTGCCGTGACGAGCCTTTTATTTTTAACACCTTCCCCATGCGTCACCCACAAAACGGAAATCACTGAAAACTTAAATTTAAAAGTATATTAAAAGCGCCGGTTGTATATTTAGACAAATCATAGGAATTTCACGGTAATTGCCGAAGAGGAAAGAACCTTCAAACGAACTCCGCACACACATTTCCGTATATGTGGGGCATTAATAATATAAATGGTGCTGCTATTACCTTAGTTGGCTGGGCTCTGGGACAGTGGCCACTAATAACACAATGACCTTTACGCGAAACGACCCTTTTTACCTACCCCCCGGGATATCCTTTGGGGGAGGGGGGTGGTGCTGCTGGTGCTTCGAGCAATCGACATTAAAGTGATAAGCGCGCAAATTTCAGGGACCTGGCAGCGCAATCTTGGTGGGGAAATCAAACGTTTGCGGCATTGTTTTTTATAGATCAGCCATGGACAACACATCCATTGGGTTTCGGGACAACGGGGCAGCCAATACACAAAGCTAATCGACCCCAGCCGCTGCTGCTGGACAGGACTTCTATTTGAATACCTTTTGGGGGAGAGGGTATGTCTGACCAGACGAGGAATTTTATTTAAAAGTAGAGAGGAATCAAAAGGATATAAAAGATATATCCAAGATAAAACGATTTTTTAACGATTTTATCGATTTTTTCAGTATTTTATTAGCAAACCATTAAAATTTATGTAAAATCGACAAATATTTATAACAGTTTTTTAGTATTGTTTTCTTAAGTGTCAGAAACTCAAAAAAACATGGCAGGGATGCATATTCTAGGGATTTTAAGTCGATATTTATCGATATTTTAGTATGACAATTTTGGTAGAAAAATCAAAGTTTAAAAATGTGATAACTCTCCAAAAAATTATTTAATTTCAATTTGGAAAGCTGTTATATGCTAGTTTTTAATGTATCAATAAATCTGCAAACTTAAATTACAAATTTAAAAATTAAAATTTTTTCAATTTTTTTCCAATTTTAATGATGTAACCTTATAAAATTTCAAAAAAAATTGGGAAAAATTAAAAAAATTTTTTTTTAATATTTTATGATTAATAAATTCAGATTTTAATGGCGATTCGGAATATATATGATTTTCGGCAATCATTTGATTTTTACACATTTTATGATCACAAGAAATCCCCAAATATAAGCATTTTAATGACTTGAAATCGACAATTATCGATATACAAATTTTTAAAGAAATCAAAGTGTATTTAAATCTAGAGCTAAGCCAAAGAAGCATTTATTTTAAATCGGAAAGCTTTTATATATAGGATTCTATTTAAATAATTAGTATTTAAATGAAGTATAAAATTTAGAAAATGTAAATAAGTAAATATAAATAAATCGCAACAGTTACTGAAGAAGCTAGTAAGCTCTTCCTACTAAAACATCTGTATTTTGTTGTATATTTATAGTACTTTTTGGAGAAAATATTAATTTATTTACAATCTCCGGAACTTTACTTGTTGGAATCATTAAACTAAAATATAGTAATACTTTTTAGTCACTCCTTATATTTTTACAGGGTATCTTAACCAATCTATCGAAATCCACCTTTATTTTTTGGCAGCCCGCGGTCTAATTATGTGGCCAGTACAATGAAGGCAATCCATGAATTTTTCATGGACCCACCACGTATGCCACAAGACATGCAATGTTGGAGCTCAAACAACTGACAATTTGGTTAGAAAATAGAGTTTGGAGGGAGGAGTAAGAGAACTGGACTCTGGGCCCCCCCTCGACTTGCGTAAGAAGCCACGCAATTTCGAAGCGTGGAAATTTCCCGGGACTCCAGCTCTCTCTTCCCCTAACTTTTTATTGTAAACTTTTCATTGAGAGGCAAAGGGGGAAGGCTCATCAAATTTTTATACTCTGGCATAATTCCATAAATGGGCCATGGAATGACCCACCTGAAAAAGGGCCATATGTTCCAACCACACACCACCACCACCACCAGCCCCCTGAGAAGAGACCACAACCCTTTCTGTCCAAACCAATAATTCGCATGCGGAAAGTCCGAAAAAATCCAGAGATCCAGGAGGGTCGGGCCTGGTCGTCAACATAATTGGTATTTATTGAAAATGCCCTTTTGGTTAACCCGTTTTCATGGAGTTCATATAAGCCATAACTGCGAGAGGCAGTAGTCCTCGATATTGTGTTTATCGCTTTTCATTTGCATTTATTGCCATTTCCAAATACGTGTGGCTATCAGAGGCGTTTAGCGCAAATTTCTTTTCAATATTTGTTTCGTGTGAGAAAGCCGTAAGCCAATAAAGCCAAATGGCCAGTTAGATTTTTTGGGCCTGTCCAATTTGATTGCAAATTTCCTACCACTTTGGCTTTTTATGCCAACTGCGTGCGGGGAATTTTGAGAGCAATATCAAGGATAGCAAGGATAATCCTATTCCCTTTGATGGCTTCTCTAACCGAGACCTATTCCTCCACTAATTAATCACTCGAGTGCATTATTATGTGTCCTGCGCTAATTACGCTTTTTCAATATTTGTCCAAAAACGACCAGCAAATCAAATATGTTCACTACAAATATTTCACTGTCAATCGACGGCCTAATGATAATTTCCTGAGCGATTGGCCAGTTTACCTGTCCATCCAAAAGAGGGAAAATTCCATTAGCATGCCTATTAATTAGCCAAAAAAATATAGTGGCTGATGGTGAGAGACACCACTTGAAGTGGTCACTTAGGGGTTATACTTTCCCTTGGATTTAATTGGTGCTTTGCAGGGACAGGACTGTACTTCCGTTTTGGAAATTATTCTGCAAAGGAAGTGGCATGGAAAGTGTAGTTTATGTATTAGATAGACATCTCTTAGAATAATCAATCAATCAGGGAATTATTTACATTTTACGAGTCAGAAGTTTCTTAATCACAGATTTCAAAGGAAATTTATGTGAGTTTTCTTGGATTAACTAACTGCACTTTTGGTAATTATTCTGCACTGAAAATTAAATGGGAAATCTGATCAAGATTCCTAACAGAGCATTCCAGAGATATTAATTCTCCTGAAAAGGATATAAATTATAAAAAGGTATTTTTTAAACCCCTAAAATATTCAACAGTCCTACAGTCTTTTATTTTTAGTTTAGCAATATATCCAACCGATTTTTAATTACTTACTTGGCTATTTTTTAATGTCTAACCATTGTTACCCCCAAATATGACATTAAAAATATTAAATATATATTCTTTAAAGTAGTTTTCTAATCCTTTTAATATGAAAAAACATTTTAATACCATCCTTATCTGAATCACAATCCTCTTTCCCAATCTAGATGCCCTGCTAAGATTGCACTTCACCAACTCAAATAGCAATTTCCCCAAGTGAATTTCCGCCTGGGGAAATCCTGGTATAACAGTTAAAGGACCAAAAAAAAAAATAAAGCGCCTGCGTGGTGCTCTCTCCGAGCAAAAGGACTTCCAAGGCGTTAGGATATTACCTGCAACCGTTGACGGAAGCGAGGGTTTGTTTGTAAACAAATGCAGAGCACTCCACGGAGAAAGGGTAAATGTGCTGCACTTTCCCAAAATGTGGGTGCTTCTCGTGCCCCCTTCCCAACTCCTGCCCCATAATTACCACCTCCACTTGTTGCTCAACCACTTTACCGCGGAGAGGTGGAGCAATTACTTAACCCAGTGGAGGGCGTACTACCCGACAGACATGCAAATTGCAGTCTCATGGGCTGGGAGACCCAACGCCTTTCCGCACATTTCGCATGACATTTTGAAACATTCTTTTTCGATTTGGTTGGTGCTCCATAATTCCGGAATCAAAATGGTCATCAAATCTAATTGGCGACGTCGCGTCGCAAATGCCTCGCAAATTGCGGGTCTGCGTTTTTTTTTCTTGATTTTTTGCACTGATTCCCCCGGCGAACAGGGATTAGGCTGGACAGAGAGACTGGATCGATGCATCGGGAGGTTAATGTTCCGCGGCTCGTACTTAGATATTCCATTACCTTGCCGGCTGCCGCGAAGAACAACAAAAAACTAAAACAACGGCCAACCAACTTGATGCAATAATTTGCCACAACTTTTCCGACCGCCTGACCACAACAACATGCAATATGCAGCAGGGGAAGGTTCGTCAAAATATTGTACACAAAAAGAAATTAATAAATAGAATTAACAAAATATAAACATATTAATATAATATATAATATAATTTTAGAACTTTCTTAGCTATTTTAATCTCTAAAAATTCAATTTAATAACTCGTATAAATATATTATCAATTTTCCTTGTGTAGAAACGTGCAATGAAATTTTCGCAAGAGGATTTTCCGAAAGGCGCGCTTTTAAAAAATGCATGAAGCGTGTGTCCCTCGGGTTGGACTCCTCCTCATTCTGGTCCTAGTCCTCGCTCCTAAACCTAGTCACAGCCAGGGACATGGACATGCAGGTGCAAATTCTTGGCAACCCCGAGGTGAACTAACCAACTGACTGAATGACGAACTGACTGACTGACATGACCACATGATTTTCAGCATGTGAACGCCTTTCGGTTGGCATTTTATCGGCGGAGAGCGCGCTTTATATCTAAACTATGAATCAATGCATTAGTCAGTCACCTTGTACGCTCTACTTTAATTACGGCTTTTTACGCGGTACCTGTACCTGAGCCCCTGCCTCACCTGCCACCCTCTGGCAAAAAAAACACCACCCTTCAACACGAGCTCTCTTCTGTTTTGGCCACAAGCTGACATTTTTTGCATGTTCTGCTGGCGAATTAAAAATTGCATACAAAAAATGCCAGCTTAAAACAAATAAATTAAGTCACGACAAGGGGAATACTGTTGCGAGATTTTTAAGTTTGCTTTGGGAAATTGGAGAGTACTTAATATTTTACTAAGGAAATTGAGGAATTAAGATCAATATCAATAGCTTTAAATTTTAATAGCAATTATCAATATTTTACAGACTAAAATCAAAAGTTTCTATATAAATTAAAAGCTTAAATGTTCTTAAATTCATTTTACGATAAATACAAACCTGGTTTGCTATGTAATTTCCTTTACTTTCCAATAAGCATTAACCCAGAAAGTCCAGTAGTCCCCCATAAATATACCCCTTTTCCTTCCAAAAACAAAGGGTATAAATAGCAAAGTGAAATTCCTGGCAAAGAACGTAATATTATTAGCGGGGACTCGACCACTCGACGACCTACCCAAAGCCATAAATATTGCATTACCATCGTTTTACCCCGAGTTGTCGCGCTTTCAGAGGTTCCTGCAACCCCCCACTCCCCACCGTGGTGGCAGGACCTCCTCTGGGAGTAGGGGTAACTGCAATTGCGAATTGGATTTCATGTTAATGCAGAGTCCTTATCGCCCGGTCATGTGCTTGGACGGGTCGCAATGGGTTCATTTGTGTTCTATTTGGTCGGTAATTTCACTTAATTGCGATGACGTTGTGTGTGCAAAAAGTGTGTATTGGGAGAGGGAGGAAAGCCAACTTTCGGCCCCAGTGGATGGCTGATTTATATCGCCCACGAGCTGGGTTGCTGGGTTCCATGGTTCATCAAATATTCAGCGACTCGTAGCGATATTGAAAATACTCGCATGTAATTGTTTTGTGTGTACATTTAGGTTTTATTCTTTATTCTTGAATGCAATTGTGGTTTACAATATATAGAGTTCTCATTTCATTTCATTTCATTTCAACGTTGTTGCCTTGCACATTCAATATATATAATAGACGTAATAAAAAGTAATTATAAACAACAGTTGTAATAAAAATAAAAATAATAAACATGTGGATGCATCGGATACTTGGATACTTGGGATACTATTCTTATTGTTATGTCATGTTTAGGTTGTTCTTCTCCTTATTGGGGGTTCTTTCAGCTCGAGGTCGTTGGTATATATAAAGATATAGCCATATATGTAGCTTGTATAAAAGGTGTACTGCCAGTGCTGCATTATGCGTGGTTGGTGGTGTTTGTGGTCATGTGTGTGTATGGTGAGTGTTGTTTGTGTGTGTGTGCGGGTTTACTTAGAAAATCCTCAAAATTATTTGTTTTATTTAGAAATAAGTTTTTTTTTTATAAAATCTACTGCGTTTGCTGTTGAATTTCGATCTTCTCCACAGTCATGTCGGGATTCATGGCCGTCGCTTCCTGGAAGGGTTGAGAAAATATATTAGTAAGGGTTTTAAATACAAAATAATAATAATAATAAAAAAGGCGGGATACTAGGGAAGATTCTTTATGAAAACTAGAAAAGATATGAGAAAAGTATAAAGAAAAGTAAGCTAAATCTATTTAAAATTTCTAGAAAATAGTTAAAATTTCAAGAAGTCTCCAAGGAAACGCTTTTTAACTTTAAGTAGATAATTTTTGATATAACTATTGAGTAAAATGATTTAAAAAAAGGGTTTAAACTTTATAATTAAACTAAAATCCCTAAATCCAAAGCTCTCTTGCTTTCGATACTCACTTGTATTGCCTCGGCCAAGGCCTTGTCATGATCAATGGGATCTCCATCGGACTGAATAGTTATCTTCTGCTCCACACGGGTCTCAACAATGCCATCGCGTTCGGTTTTGTACTAAGATTATAAAGGAAATATAATTAATTTTTAAGATTCCTCAAGTATAACAACACCTAAACCCAGTTCGAACAAGGACTATGCATGGAATTTACAGTGTGGCGTAAGAACGTATACAGGAAATATCTTCAAGATACAAATACACAGTCTTAAGAAGTCCTACCTCTGGCTACTTACACACTCATCCTGATCGAAAAGGGATCCCCCTCTTTATAAAGTACTTACGGTAATGGTTTCCACAGTGCGGGTTTTGCTGCTCACGGTTTGGGTGGAGATGATTTCGCCATGTCCGGAATAACCGGGTGTATCCTCGCCCAAAACCACACGTGTGCTCTCTACATGCGGTCCTGGTGTAGAGCCCGTGGCGGAGGTCGTATACAGCGGAGATTTCTGGCAAGGATTAGCAAGGTGTTGTACATATTAGTCAGGGTTACATCAAGGATTTTTAGGAGTATCCACAGATTTAGCTAAGAAAATAGATAAATTAAAGTGCACATGCTTTGAACCCACCTGGTTATCTGTGCGCACCACGCTGGCACCATCGTAGGGTCCGTCGATGGGCGTGCCCGAGTCACCGGAGCTGGTCGAGGAGACACTGTCCCGCCTCTGATACTACGCCACAAAATTGTACAAAATAATAACAATAAACAATCATGCAAAAAAAAAACAAAATAAAACTAAAAACATGCTCATGGCTGGCTAGCTGCTGGATCTTACCTGATCGCCACTGGTCACTGTTGCCGTCGTCTTTACCTCCTGGGTGACAACGCGCTGCTGCTGCTTGGTGGGATCATGGGTGCGGGTGGTGGCCACTGTCTTCTCCTCCAGCTGCTCGGTCTTGGCATTCTTGCCCAGATCCTCGTGCGTGGTGGCAGTGCGGGTGGTGACAGCGGTGGCCGTGACATAGGCGCCACTCAGGTCGGTGGGTGTTGCATCAGCCTACGATGTGGCAAGTGGAGTTGGAGTGGTTTTTAAGTGGGTTAGTGCGTATGGCAAAAAGGAACATTAAGTACAGTAAAGACAACACTTAAAGCAACAACAGGAAACGGCTAGAGGCGAAAGTTAGGCGGAGGCGGAAGTTAAAGTATTTTTAATTTGGATAGCAAAGCGCAAAAAGAGAGATAGATATAGGTGGTTCCTCAAAGATACTCAAAAAGCATCCCCTGTGCTAACCTTGTGTTCCTGCGTGGAGTAGGTGACCTCGCCTGTGCCCAGGTTGCGCACCTCCTCCTCCACGTTGTGGGTCACGCCATCGTCGTTCTTGGTCAGCACCTGCTTGGTGGTGGTCTTCACCACCGTCGGCGTGCTCACCGGCTTGCCCAGCTTGCCGCTGGCCGCCGCTTGAGCCTGGGAACTGCTCAGCACAATGTCCTTGACCTGATCGCTGCCATACTGTCCGGTCATGTCGTCATCGGAACTGCCCTCCGAGTCCCGACGCAGAGCACCCTTGCCTATGTGCTTGACGCCATCGAAGAACTGCTGTCTGGTAATGGGCACCGTCTCCGTGGTGGTCTGCACCTGAGCCTGCTTGCCAAAGTGCGAGGGATCGATCTGGGCGTAGTTAAGGATCAGCTTGCCGGTCACTGGATCCGTGACAGCGGTGGCAGGATCAATGTCACCCGTATTTGGATCAATGTCTCCATACTCGCTCTTAATGCGTCCGGTCACAGGGTCAATCTCGCCGGTCAGGGTCATCGTGTGGGTGACAGTAGTGCGGGCGCCGGCAAAGCGAGGATCATTGGGGTCCACCTGCACAATTTCACCGGTGACAGGATCAATCATATTGTACACATAAACCGTTTTGTTGAAGAACTTAAGCACACGGCCGGAGACGGGATCGATCTCGCAGGTGGAGGGATCGATCTCCTCTGGGCGGCCGCGCTCGTCCGTCTTCGAGATGAGCAGGATGCGCACGATCACGATCTTGCCCGTCTTGGGATCGACGCGGGCCAGCTTGGTGTACACCTCGCCGGACTCGGGATCCACCTGGGTGGCCGCGTACAGCGGCTCGCCGGTGGAGGGATCCACCTCGCCGGTGGCCGTGTATATCTTGCCCGACGTCGGCTCGATCTTGATCGTGTTGGGGTCCAGCTTGGTCTGTTTCTTGATCTCGTTGGTCTTGGGGTCCAGGTAGCCATAGATGGTGATGACATAGCCCGTCTTGGGGTCGACGCTGCTGGAGATGTACTGCTGTTCCTTGGTGGCGGGGTCGCTGGCACCGGTGGGCACCCAGATCTGGTTGGATTTCGGGTCCACCACAATGTCCTTGTCCTTGGCGGCACTGACTTGGGTGATGGGCGCCTTGGTGGCGGGATCCACGCGCTGTTGCACAATTCTCAGGGAGATAATCCTGGCATAGTCCTTGTCGGGCTTGTTGTTCTTCGGGTTGACCTGGTTCTTCAGCACAATCTGTCCCGTGGTGGGCTCAATCTTGATGTCCCTGGTCACCGTCTTGCCGGACTTCGGGTCATTAAAGGTAATGGTGTGCTTGACGAGATCGATCTGTCCATACTTAGTGTCGATCTTGCCAGCCTTGGGATCAAACTGACCGCCGGAGGTCTCCACCTGAGCCGTCTTGGCATCGATAATGTTCCTCTTGGAGTCGAACTTGCCCGCCAGCGAGGTGACCTCCACAATGGGATCAATCTGCTGGCCCACCTCGATCAGTCGACCCTGGTTGGGATCGATCTTGTGCGTCTTGGGATCAATAACGCCCAGAATAGTGATCTGACCAGTGCCCGGGTCCACCTTCACATTCTTGCTGACCACAATCTTGCCCGACTTGGGATCAATGGCCTTCAGTTCTCCGGTGCGGGTATTAATCTCTCCGTATTTGGTGTCCAGGAGGCCAGTGTCCAAGTTGAGGACGCCCAGCGATCGCTCCACGTCCCCATTAACGGTGTCTATCTTGCCGGTAGCGGGATCAATGCGACTGGTGATTACTGTTAGCTCCACCACCGGATTGTCCTGCGGGGTGATGCAAACGATCTGGCCAAGCGATTCATCCAGGCGTCCCGTCTTGGGATCTGCCACACCCGAAACCAAATGGAGATTGCCCGTCTTGCTGTCGATATCGCCCTGGAACAGCTCCTTCTTGCCGGTCTTGGTATTGAGAGCCTCCAAAGTGCCCTTCTTGGGATCAATCACACCGTACTTGGTGTCGATGCGTCCGGTGGCCGGGTCTAGAATGCCAGTGGAGTGCTCAATGGTTCCGTTCTCAGCATCAATGCGCTTGGTCGAGGGATCAAACTTGGAGGTGATGACCATGATCTTGACGCGCTTCTTCTTGGGCTTGGCGGCGGCAGCAGCAGCAGCGGCGGCGGCGGCTCCTGCTGCAGCTCCTGCGGCAGCACCAGCTCCAGGAGTTCCCGATTTGTTGGGAGATCCAGGCTTCTTAGCACCAGCTCCAGCAGCAGCAGCTCCCGCAGCAGCAGCTCCTGCAGCATCTCCCGCAGCACCTGCCTTCGAGGGGCCCACATAGCCAGGCTCCTTGTTGTAACGCTGCGACTCCAAAAAGTCAGCTGTGGGATCTGAGATGGGCTTGTAGCTACCCGGAGCACCAGAGGAGTAGCCCTGCGGACCCTTCGTGGGCGAATAAGAGCGCTTCTGGGAGTCGCTGAGCGGAACAGCGGCAGCATCCACAGCGCTGCCCTGGAGCTTAGCTCTTGTGGTGGGCGAAAGCAGGGGATCCTGCAGCAGCTTGGCCCTGGACTTGGGCGACAGCTGGCCACGGTTCAGCTTGTCCTGAGTGCGCGGCGACAGCTGGCCAGCCTTCAGCTTCTCGGCGGTCTCCTTCAAAGCATTCTCATTGCCCGGAGCATAGTTGAAGGCCAACCCAATCTTCTTCTGCTGCGATGTGGGTGAAAGCTGCTCCTGTCCATCGCCACCAGACTTCCTAGAGTTGGGATCCTGGTCGTAACGGAAGCCACCTGGTGTATAGGACTTCCTGGTGGGGCTGGCATTGCCATCGGCATCCACGGCATACTCGTACTGCCTGGTCACTCCGCCAGGAGTGGTGGATCCACGGTTCTTGGCCGCATTCTTGGCCGCCTCCTCAAGATCCTTGTCCTGCTGACCATCGGCGCCCAGACCCGAAGTAACGACCAAACCAAGACGACCCATTTCCTTGTCCTTGTCCTTGCCCGACTTATCCTTGCCGCTGTCCTTGGACGGAGAGCCGCTCTTGCTCTTGCGGCCCGACGAGAATATGCCAACGCCCTGATGTTTTGTTTGATTTTTTGGGATTCAAATCAAAAATAAAATGAAAAGAAAAGGGAGGGAATAAATTAAACCAGGAAAATAATATAGATATAAATCAAGAGGGTGAACTTAGGATAAATATCGGGTGACACTACAAACTATCGTAACTTACGGGTTCAACTTAAGTGAGGTGATCGGTGGTTTGGGGTGGGTTGGATTTAATTACAAAAGGGTCTTGGGTACACAAGGACTTTAAGGATTCAGAGTATTTACACGAGGGCGGGCTCATTCAGTGCGGGGCTAACGCTTAGCTTAAAAGTATCTTTACTCTAGGAAACCTATGATCTAGTCTAGGTTGGTTAACGAAGAGATACTTACACGTCTGCCTGAGGACTTGTCCGACTTGTTGGAATCGTTCAGCTCGTCATTGCCTATGAAAATATTAGAAAATAGATTAGTTTGAGATACTTTTTTAGGATATTTACTACCCCTTCTTACCATTAACAGCCGAACCAGCGGCGGCGGCTGCAGCAGCTGCTGCTGCCTTGGCCGCCTTCTCAGCCTTCTCGGCCTTCTTGCGCTCCTCCAAGTCTCGCTTCTCCTTCTCCTTGCGCTCCTTTTCCTCCTTCTCCTTCTGCTTCTTCTCGCGCAGCTTGGCCTCCTTCTCCTCATCCTAAGGACAAACCACACAAAAATTAGTTAAAGAGTTCATAAAAACCACAAAAAAGACAGATTTTTTGGGGGCGAAAAAGCCAACATGCTACAGATTTACAATACAAGCCATAAAATCAAAATGTTGGGACATTAAACAAATAGGAATGCCATAAGTAAATGTTATAATGTTAATTTATTTTTAGTAGAAATTTATACACAGTGCCAATGCATGTTTTGTGTGGACTGTACTGGTGTGTTTGGCCCTAAAACGGTATTTACAGAGCTCGGGAGGGGGTTCATTTAAACATTATAAAGACGGCACATAAAAAACTGATATAAAAAACTAAAATTAAACACTCAATAAAGAAAGAGAGAGATACTAAGATAAAGATAGATAAAATGAAGGCACACAGAAAACAAATAGTTTGACGGCACTTTTTCTGCACAGAAATTACCATCAAGTCAAGGTACAGCTCTGTCGGGGGCTACCATAGAGCGGGGGGGTGGTTAGAGGTTATGAAATCAAAAGATATAATAATTAATTAATAAATCCATTTAACATTGGGTTACAGAGGCCCTAAACTGAACAGGTAAAGAAATAAACTTAGAGAGGGGAGACAACATTCGATAAGCAGAACAGAGTTCAAAGGCGAAACAAAATATTTAATATTTATATTTTAAGTAGAAGAAATCGAAGGAGAGACTCGGTTGTAGGTAGTAAAGTGTTAACCTGAACGGGGGGCTCAGCCTCGATGGCCTCGATCTCTAAGTTGGTCTCGTAGTCACCCTCGAGGGAGCTTTGCGAGGAGGCCGAAGCCGTGCCGGTGCTCGATTGTCGCATCAACTGGTTAGTGTTTGGTTTGGTTTTATTTTTAGGGGGTTAAGTTATATAGTTTTATAGTTCAGGGGGACATAACGAGCACATCGGAGTTGGTAGTGTGTGTTTTTTTTGTTTGGTTGTGAGTGGTGGTTGGTTGTGAGTTAGTAACAAACCGAGAAGAAAGTACAAAAGAAACACTCTCATGGTTAAACATCATCTGTTCATCATCTCATTATTAGCTAGGAATCAATCATCAGGCAGTGGGTTACCAACTGGCCAAGTTACCTTGTCCTTCTTGTTCTTAATGGGACTGCGGCTGTGGGCATCGGCTCCCTCGGCATTGCGGTCTCCCCGATGGTCCAAAGTGCTGCTCTTGCGGGCCACCTTCTCCTTCTCGGCCATGGCCAAGGCTGGAAAAGAAATAACAGAATTAATAAATAAATATTTTTAAATTAAAACCATAACTACCATCCATGCTGCGTGAGGTCAGACGAGCTCCTGATAGAGTCCTGTCAAAGGTAGGAGCCGTACGATCCACGGGCGTGGCCCTGCTCTCATACTGAGTGCGTCCCTTGTAGCGATACTTGGAGCCAAAGCGCGGGAACATAGTGGACTTGTGGTCCGGTTCCGGGGTCATCAGGCGGAAGAAGGTGTGGTGCTCCACGCAGGATTTCCAGAGCTTCTTGGCGGCCCTATGATTGGCCAGCTTGAAGCCAATGGTGGACTCGTACTGCTCGAATTCACCGGGACGGATCTTGATATAAAAATGATGACGCTTGTAGGAGATTTTCAGGATCTTGGGCCAGGCAAAGCGGTTGATGCGGAGTCTGTTAAGAATAAGGAAATATTTGTTAAGGATTTTTCCAGATAGAAAGAAAAAGCGACTCCTACTTATCCCTGTAGACCAACAATCCAGAGGCACACACGCCCAGCATGATGTCCACACCCTCAGAGTCCTTGGCCGGATGCAAATCCACGCCATACATGGCCAGCTTCTTGGCATTCTCCAGGTAGTGAAGCTCAGCCTCTGCTGGTGATTGTCCCTTGTGGGTCTTGTGCAGATCCATGACCTTATCCTCCAACTCAGGCGTCTGGTTGGGGGCGATCTTAAAGTCCTTTAGGTAGGCACGCGTGGGCATATCCTTGGCATCATAGTCACCCATCTCGGATTGCACCAAATAGGAGCCCAGCAAGGCGTGGGTGACAAAGGTGCAGGGCAGACGACCCTCGAGGATATCATTGCGCACCTGCAGGCACAGGTGATAGCGCGTGATGTCCTCCTGCAGCTGCGAAGGCTCCGGCGGATAGAACTTGACGGCAAAGTTCAAGGGCCAGGGATCCGAACGAAAGAACTTGGCCACTGGCTTCTCCAGATCCAGCCAGGTGCGTGGATCTGTGGGAGTCTCATAGGTCAAGCCAAAGTAGTCCTTCTCAATGATGTTGAGGCCGGCACAGATGGAGTTGACCAGGTCACGGCCCTTGGCTTTGCGCTAGAGAGGAGATAGAGAGTCATAAATATTTAGTTGTTATTATTTAAGAGAAAGCTCAACTCACATCAATGGTCACATCTAGAATGGAGCCATCCAGCAGGGTTACCCTGGCCAGGGCTGCCTTGGAGAACGATGAGGAGCTGGTCTTGGCTTTGCTCTTGGTCGGCGTTTCCGGCTCAGCGGGTGCGGATGGTTTAATTTCCGCCGGCATCTTGGCTATGTTCCGGCTACGCCAGCAGCAGCTTGGATGGGTCTGTTGGAGATAAAGAAAGAGTGGGTGAGAGTTGAGACTTTAGTAGTTAAAGTGGCCGGAAGTGCCCACTCCTGGGGCTCATGTGTGCATATGCTTGTGTGGGCGCCTTTTGCTCATTAGAGATGTCTGCAGTCTTGTTCATAAAACACAAGCCATTAAAAGCTGGCGCCAGAGACCAGGACAACAGACCGCAACAGGAGGTGACCTCCTAGATGATGTCATGTACTTTGTACTCACTTTTAACGGCCTCGAGAATTTCTCCGGCTATGATTTCCAGCGAGCTGCAATAGAAAGACACCGAGAAATTGTCCATTAAAAGTCGAACTGCGGCTCTGTAAATTGAATTTAACGTTTTACTAGCGAAAGCGGCTAATAAAAAAACCCAACAAACTTTCAAAAACCCCACAACAATAATCTCAACTTGCAGATCTATTATTAAGTAGAGTGTGTGCTGATGAGACATGCGTAATTAAGTCATTAAATATTAAGTGCATGAGAAATCACACAGCCGTCTGTCCGAAAAACAAGACCAGCGATCAAAGCCAGCTCACGTTTCAAGTTCAAGCAGTGACATAAGTCGTTTATACATATATTTTTCCCCCTTATATAAGCCGGCAAATCGAGGCAGCGTCATGTTCTCATTCGCGACTTTTTTCTCTCTCTAATTTTCATATCAGAACCCCTTCCGTTGAGGCTATCGACAATGTTCCGGCTCGGATGCGGCTGAGGCTATGCAGGCCCCACCCAGACAAAGAGCCTTCAATCAACGCTGATTGGCGCAAAAAAAGGGGGCAATTAATGGTTAAGGTTCTAGATATTCCAGATGCCTCCGACAACGATCAATTGGTAGCCGAAGCAATGACCGATTGCCTGGTCAATTTGCTATATATACTTCTCCTACTCTCCGCTAGTGTTTAATTGATTCAGAGCCATGGATGCCCAAGAGACTTGGAAAACAAGCTGAACCAGTTTTAGAAGAGGCTTCTTCAAGGGGTTCTCCAACCTCGAAAACAGAAAATGTAACACAGACTACAGCTATGGCATTATAAGACACAAAACATACAATTTTGTTTCTGTTTCTCTAGAGAATTAACTCTCCGGTGGCGTCATCGAGCCCCACACAATATCCATATGTATATGTTGAAAACGAAAAAAACACGCAGACAACAAAAACTATTTAATTTATATTATTTTTTATTTATTTCAAGCAGCATAGAGCAGACCATGTGTATGGCCATTACTTTGGCAGCGTTCTCGTTCCCATAGTTGAAGGTTGCGCATACGCAATGTTGACATCATCCTCATGCAGCTCGCAATTTTGCAGGGCCTCTTTACTAAATCCGATTAAAAAATTTGAGTAGATGCCTCAATTTGTGATGAATCAGTCGGGGGGCATTATCTTTACAGCAAACCCAAACAATAAACAAAACAAATTAAATCGTTCACAGTGTTTGATACGTGCGAGAACACTCGCCAATGATTTATTTTCGTATCAACGATGACATCATCAACAGTAGCAGCATCACCAGCTATGGCATCAAATCGAGAACTATTTCTAGAGTTATATTTGCAAGATGCCGTTGCCGCCGACACCCAAAAAGATCGCCGAGCATTCGCCTCAATTGAAGGAGGTCGAGGTGAAATTCATCAACTGGCGCGCGTCTCTAATCTTCTTCACGTTACAAATATATATAGTATATTATTGCAGGCCAGAAAGAGATATAGCAGGCCGGGCCAAAGAATGTTTACACCCAGAAAAAGGCCTTAAAAAATTGAGTTAGGTTGGAATTTAGTTATGGGGGAAACCAGAGAAAGTCTGTTGAAAATTTAATTTTTAAATTAGCCAAGGAAATTCTTGCCTAATTTAAGCAACATAAATTATATTTTCATATACAAATTTAACTAGAATTCAGAACCCCTAAAAGAACTTGTACTTCAACCTTAAAATTAATCATTAGAAAACCTATTTTCTTCACTATTTATGCAGTTTCTTGAGTCTTAATTTACCCCATTTAAAATCCCATTAATTAAGTTCTTTTAACTACAAAACCTCCCCCTTAATTTCCCTCTGTGCATCTCCAAAGCAAAAGTATTATTATTGTGAAAGTAACCAAGTTGTGTCGCCGCAGCACAAAAGATGGCAATCTGCTCTGTCATTTCCAATTGAGAATCGGAATGAGAACGAGAACGAGTAAGTAAGTAAGTATATACCCTGGGTGCTTCTGGCTGCTCCCCTTTAATTAAGTTTCATTTAATAAAACGTAAATCAAATTCAATTTATTCCGACAGAGGAGAGGTCCCACTCACTGTATCTGACGGATAAAGCTTGGACATGTATCATCATCATCATCGGTTTATTATGTCACCTGGTGGCGTCACTTCACCTGGAGTGACAACTACAACTAGGGCAGGTTTCCCCAAGCCCTGACTGAACATTTTTCCAACGGCATAAACAATTTCCCTTTTGGCCAGTGAAATGCACAGCTAAACTCATTTAAACTTGCCATTTTCCAAAGTCAACGAAGCATGGCCAATAAATCGCATTTAAGGCCTGAAAGTTATTTCTTTATTATATTTTTTTCACATCCGTTTATAAACATAGCGGCATTTCCGCAAAGGGGAAATAATGTTGTAAATATAAATTTATGTGCAAAATAAATTTAAAAAATATTTTAAGCTGTGAGTTGGGAGTTTAAACAAGGAAAGTTTTAGGAAATAAAAGCTATTAAGGAATCTAATTAAGTTAGTTAAAGTATTTTAAAGGTTTGCCTTGCTTGTTAAAGCTTAAAAGGTTGGAAATTATAGGAAATTTCTATGGCATTTAATTAAGTTTAAGTAGAGTTCAAGACTTCTTCTTTAATTTCCCTGCACCTCTGACCTTTTGAACCCTTAAGCTAAGGCACCCCACTGGCAGAACTTCCTTCGATTTTCCTGCTGCATGTAATTATGGATATTTATCGGGGTCTTGTGTACTTCTTGGGCTTGCCAGCAAAAATACAGAAATACACACTGAGAAATGCGTAAACATTCGCGCATTTTGCGTTGCGATAAAGTGGGTCAATCAATACAGTCCGATTCGAGGAGGGTGTGTTCCGTCCCAGACTTGCAGTTAAAATCCGCCACTACATTCGATAAGCCAGATCCGTTCCCATTTCGCACCCTGGGAACCCTGAGACATGGCTGACCAGAAGTGGATCAATGGAGGAGAACGGGTTTTATTTTTTTGCTACCAGCCACCAGTGGCTGCCACTCTTCTGGACAGCTCAAGTGACGGCTACGACTCAGCGGCCTGACGAGTGTGTGTCGCTTGACTAATTACCGCTCCGATCGGCGCTTGGCTGCTGTCAGCGGGACATAACCGCGAGTGAATCGCACATCACAGCACACCCACATCCATTACCCATTGGAGGCACAGCGCCACACAGCCACCCTGCAAACTCCCTGCAACTCCCATGCACCACCGCTTGTCAATGGCTATTTAAAGCATTTGACTTTGCCTGGCCAACGAACTCTGGTTGCAGCGAGTGCTGCGGGTATTTGTGCACTGGGAAAACTAATCAATTATTTATAAATCACATTAATAATAATTCAAACTTCTAATTATAAAAGATATTAGTCAGTTTTCTGAATTTATTGCTGATAATTAATTGTATTTAAATGATTTTAAACTCCAAAGAAACTGATGAAGCATGACTTTTCTGCACTACACAGAAAGAAATATATATAATTTCAATGTTTAATAATATAATATAAATAAATAATGGAAAATTAAACCCAAGTAAGAAAAAAAGCTGAAGTTTAGATACCCTTTAGTTTGCAATTGGATCAAGGGGTCTAATTTTCAATCCTTCATAACTTAGCCAAAAATACCTTAATTTCAATTCGGAAAGCTTTTCTGTGCTAGTTTTTTCTAGATTTATAAATCAGCAAGTTAAATTTAAAATTTGAAATTTTTAAGTTTTTTTGATTTTTTGACAATTTTGATGATGTAACCCCTTATAAAATTTTCAAAATTTCAAAAAAAATTTTTTTTTTTTGCCAACATGCTAGTTTTACTTGGCCGTTGATGCTGATCAAGAATATATATGATTTATAGGGTCGGAAATGATTCCTTCACTATTTTTTTTAGACTTTTGACTAAAATTATAGTACCCTCTATAGTATTACAACTTGTTACATATCCTCTTAATTTTAGGTAAAAACCTTTTAAAAATATTAACAATTATGACACATTTTTCCCTGTTTAGTGCCAACCGCACCCACATGCATTTCCCCAACTTGATTTCTGCCCAGACGGCGAAGCAAATCGCGGAATTGTAGGACTGAAAGGCAAGGAAGCTATGGGTAAACAAACGAACTGCTGCCTAGAGAAGAGAATTTCGTCCACTTCAGCGCCCTGCACATTAATCATAGACCCATAGACGCCGCCGTCGCCGTCGCCTTATTTCCCCCCGAGAAATAAAAATCGATGCGACAGCAAATAAAAATAGAAAACGGAAACCCAGCACAGGAAGGAGGAGGCACGAAGCTGAGTAGCTTAGAGCCGAGGCCTCCTCTTCCGTGCGATTGAGTTTGTTGACAGATTAGATTGGTTTTTCCCCCTCAAGCACAAGGGGCGGCGGGATGTGTGTCTTCCAGAAGGGGGAGACTAAGAATAGCTGGCGAAATAGCGTCGTAAATTGCTAGATACTTTCGGTTATTAAGATTTTCTTGAAACTACGATCGGGTCATTATGTTGGGAAAGCTAGGTTTTCACAGAGAGACTGGTAGAGAGAGAGAGAGCGACTTTGTGGAGAATCCACAGAGAAGACTCTCTCTGGCAGAGCTTCTAATAAAGCCAAAGACACACCTTTTTCCGTGGGCTCTGCACGCTCCATGCTCGAGTTGGAATTCAGGTTTTGGCTTTGCCACTCTTTTGGCCAGGTTAGCGTGCGGCCAGGTCGTTAGTGTAACCACTAACCATACAACATATAGACTGGTCATTTCATACAACGAAAATGGACACAAAAATTTCCTAACATGCGGTCCCATGTTAACTGTTTGCTGTTAGCGACAGACCGTCTGTTAGATTTTAGCTGTTAGCGTCCCGTCCCATGTTAGCTGTCAGCTGTTAGCGTCAGGCCTTTACATGTATGCGTGTTCATGCATTCACGTACACGGGTGCATGTGTGCGACCATTTCATTTCGGGCCAGCAAGAATATTTGGTCTTTTGCTACTTTTCGCGCTAGGTACCCTAAAAATATGGGCATATTCGCTATTGGGTTAATGATACAAATAAGAATGTTATATGTTATAATATATTTCTTAATGTTTTAGCATTCATTCCATATTTGTTTACAATTCAAATCAGTGGCAGCAGTGAAATGTGTTGCATATATGTACATACATATGAATTCGAATGAATAACAATCCATCTACTGAGATAGGAACAGGGCATATTGCAGTCGGTGCTCGCGATCGCTTGCACATTCTGTGTGCTGCAACGCGTCGAGACGCTGGGGGTTGTTGTTTTTTTTTTTTTTTTGCCGAGCTGCTACCCAAACCGTTAGATCTCGTGCCCGTCTCTTTTTTAAGTGACACCGACTGCAATATGCCCTGTTCCTATCTCAGTAGATGGATTGTTATTCATTCGAATTCATATGTATGTACATATATGCAACACATTTCACTGCTGCCACTGATTTGAATTGTAAACAAATATGAAATGTATGCTGAAACATTAAGAAATGTATTATAACATATAACATTCTTATTTTTATCATTAACCCAATAGCGAATATGCCCATATTTTTAGGGTACCTAGCGCGAAAAGTAGCAAAAGACCAAATATTCTTGCTGGCCCGAAATGAAATGTTCGCACACATGCACCCGTGTACGTGAATGCATGAACACGCATACATGTAAAGGCCTGACGCTAACAGCTGACAGCTAACATGGGACGGGACGCTAACAGCTAAAATCTAACAGACGGTCTGTCGCTAACAGCAAACAGTTAACATGGGACCGCATGTTAGGAAATTTTTGTGTCCATTTTCGTTGTATGAAATGACCAGTCTATATGTTGTATGGTTAGTGGTGTAACGCTCTCTCTCTCTCTCTCTTAACAATTCACTCGTTCTCCGATTTTCCACTCTGTACAGTTATTAGCTGGCTGGCACTCCTCGTTTGCTTTGCTCGGTTGCTTTATCTGTTTGTCCGCTTTGTCCAACTTCTTGCTGGCCAACACCAACCGGTTTCTAATGCAAGCTCTCTCGAATGCCTCGCTTTTCTTGCCACTTTTCAGGCCAGGCCAAGAGAAGCAGCAGCAGGCTTTATGTTAATGTTACCCACTATTTGGGTCAAAGCCCACACCTCCCGAAAAGAGGTAGTAAAAAAAATGGTAGAAACTCCACGTAAACAAACTGCCTGCGAAGAAGAACCAAGTTCCCGTTGCCAAGTCAACGCCCCAAGTTTTCCGGGGATGGTGAAAATCGTGTGCCCGTGACTCAGAAGAAGGGTTCACCGAGAGGGGGGGCGCTGGTGGTGGTGAGCCACTGAACCAGTCACCTGCCATTCATAACTGTGTTGGCCTTTGTTGTGGTGTCGCCCCCCTTATCTTATCTCGAACACAACGACTGCGGTGTGTCCTTGTTTATACTCGATATCAGGCAGCAAAAATGCCAATGCAAAAAACTTTGGCTCGATGTTTTTGATAAGAGTGCCACGGCAACCTGATGGCTGCTGGCCTGTGCTGCCAGCTCCCCGATCGATTCGGTTTCTATTTTCGTCGCAGTGACGTCTCAAATGCCGCGGGAATTCAGATATTCAGCCAGTGGATTTTTTGGCCTATGAAACTGCCATCGTAGAATTCTTCTGGTTCCAAAATTATATCATATTTAGGGGGAGAACGAATGTGAAGAGATACATATGTAGCAGCTTGTGCATTTTCTATTTTCTATTTTCTATTTATTTTGTCGCCTTTTGGGGCTGTTTTTGGTTTTGGATTTGGTAAGCTATGAAAAGGCTTGAATAATTTAAAGTTGGGGTTTTTTAAATTCGTTTTATCTTAAGGTTAAGGCATGTCTTAGAGTACCTGTAGCAAGTTTTGCCTTTTTAAGTTTGTAAATAAAAGATACATTTGTTCCCCCTTTTCAACTTCTATTTAAGCTTAGTTCTCATATATTTTTACAATTTTTAAGGAAACTATTTGTGACAACATTAAGATATTTTGTTATAGATATTCTCAAAACTTCCAGCTAATTTTATTAGCCCAAAAATCTGCCTTAAAATAGTTACAGATACATGTTATTATTTAAACAAGTGTTTCTTAAATCTCTCCTCAATTTTAAGAGTTTCTCTTCAAGAATTTCAGCTTCTAAATACCAAATAAATAGCCGTAAATGCTTAAACAAAGTTACTCAAGTTCTACGCTTCCCTTGAAATCCACATTTGTATCTTTTTTTTTAACACTGCTACCTGCCACTTCCCATTATTTGTATCTTTTTGAGTCCAAGTATCTGGCTATGCAATACCTTTGCTAAACGATCGGTGTGTTGGCGCGTTGCCCTGGCTACTGTTTGTGGCTAATAAGAATTTCCCACCCTTTTCGCGACGACTACGTTTCCCAGCCCCGCTAAATGCGAAGCAAACGAGAAAAACACAGACGAAGGAAAAGTGGAGTAAGGCGAGTACAGAGAGGCGGCGGCGAAGGCGACAATGTGGGGCGCGCGAGTTGACAAAAACAAGAAAACGTAAAGAATATCGTGCCAAAAGATACACTCGAAAAGCTCACAGATACAGATACATAGATTCAGATACAGCAGCGATATTGCGATGAGTGACTCTCTCTCTCTCTCTCTTTGGACAGATAGAGAGAGTTGCAAATGCTACTGCTGCTCTCTCTCCCTACTCTCTGCTCTCCCGTATCTGTGTGTGCCTATGAAGTCATACCGTGGCTGCGCTTGTGTTTGTATCAAAAAAAATAAAGCCACCGAAAACTCGCGACCACAGCCCAAGAAAAATATAATTAAGAAAATAATCAAATTAAGCGCCATTCTTCGACGTTACTTACCCAATTAGCTGGGCCTTGTGAATCCTTATTTTTTCCGCTGACTTAAGCTCTTCTTAATCCACTCCAAAGGATGCGTAGATGAAGAGAATACTTTGCGGCGCGCTTTAACCGTTAGTTTCTGCAGTTGTATTTGTGTTGTTTTCACTTTTTCTTTTCTTTTCGCCACTGTTGTTGCACTCTACACTGGTAAACAAATTCTTGGCCACTTTTTTCTATTCGAACGCGAAAAAAGACAATTTGTTGTTGTCGGTCGGTGAGTAGTCGTTGAATACCTGTTGAAAAGTTTTGGACGTTGAGTTTTTTGAGTTTGAGTCTGTGTATGAGTAATAGAGCATGAGCCAGGGGGTGGGGGTAATAGAGAAAGAGAGATAGAGAGGAAGAGGGAGAGGGAGGTGTATAGGGGTGGGGCGTGGGCGAAAACTGCGCGAATAGTGGTTGCTAATAAATTAAATTCTGCATTTATTTATAAACACACAACCGAATTGCGCGCCTTTCTTCGCTATATATCTTTTCTCTGCTTTAGCTTTTCTTCTTTTTTTGTTCACTTTGGCTGAGAATTCTAGAACCAATAAACGAGCGTCGCAAACGTACCGTCTTCACAAATATTCGAAGTGCTGTGCACGAAGAGCAAACTGGTACTGTTCGCCTAGAGTATCTTACGGATACTCTCCGCCGTTCGCTTTTCAATTTTGATTCGCTTTGAGCTGCTTTCGTGGTTGAGTGGAGCGGAGAAACAACCACCGAATGAGTGAAATGGATCCCATGGTGGCGCAATTGTTGGATTTTGAGTGATTTCAATGGTGAGTGAGTGGTGAGTGGAGAGGTGAGTGTTGACTAACGTTCGAGCTGATTTGAATTTTTGAAAGGCGCCGGAGCTCCGGTGGAGTTTAGATTTTAATCTGGAAAAAATTAAATTATAAAATTAATCAATTATTTATAAATCACATAAATAATAATTCAAACTTCTAATTATAAAAGATATTAGTCAGTTTTCTGAATTTATTGCTGATAATTAATTGTATTTAAATGATTTTAAACTCCAAAAAAACTGATGAAGCATGACTTTTCTGCACTACACAGAAAGAAATATATATAATTTCAATGTTTAATAATATAATATAAATAAAAAATGGAAAATTAAACCCAATTAAGAAAAAAAGCTGAAGTTTAGATACCCTTGAAGTTTGCAATTGGATCAATTTTCAATCCCTCATAACTCAGCCAAAAATACCTTAATTTCAATTCGGAAAGCTTTTCTGTGCTAGTTTTTTCTAGATCAAAAAATCAGCAAGTTAAAATAAAATTTAAAAATTTTTACTTTTTTTGATTTTTTGACAATTTTGATGATGTAACCCCTTATAAAATTTTAAAAATTTCAAAAAAAAAATTTTGTTTGCCAACATGCTAGTTTTACTCGGCTGTTGATGCTGATCAAGAATATATATGATTTATAGGGTCGGAAATGATTCCTTCACTATTTTTTTTTAGACTTTTGACTAAAATTATAGTCCCCTCTATAGTATAAAAATTTGTTACATATCTTCTTAACTTTAGGTAAATAAAATAACATTTTTTCTTTTAAATTTTCAACATTTATTGCGTTGGTTCCTACATTAAGTTTAATGTATCATCTATGTCATTATCTTTATAAGCTGTTTCCGCCTCAGATTTCCAGCCAAACTTAGCGGCTTATGAATCATTATCAATCTATAAAATTGTTTACAAAATCAACCATTTTTACTGAATAATCCAAAGCCTCAATTAACTCAGATTTAAATAGAAAACAAATCTCCTCTAACCTTTATCGCTTGCGATATAGGCAGGGCTTCAGGGAGAACGGCTTCAGCTTGGTGGTCTTGGGCACATGCCGCATCTTCTTGAATTGAAAGAAGTAAAAGTAGTTCACGGCCACGTCCTTCTTGACCATATCAAAGCCGCAGGCACTCAGGCAGCGCACAAACTGCCGCACATCCTCGAAGCGCGACTGAATCTCCGCTATGTACACATTCCCGTGCAGCTTTAGCACCCGGTTGGCCTCCAGGAAGAACTCGTTCAGATCGGTGCCCATCAAGGAGAGACAGTACACAGCCACATCCAAACTCTGAGCCTGCAGCGGGGTTTCCGTAATGTTGCAGGCAATGATGTCCCCTCTGGCGGCCACCAGATCCATGGAGTGCACCTTGTTTGGCACGGATTCGGCTAGTTTTCCCTCACCACAGCCAAAGTCCCCAATGACGGCCGACTTAGGCAGCTTCTTGATAGTCTTGATGAAGCGATTCAAGGGATTGAGAGGCCACTTCTCCACCTGCTGACGGTAGCCGGCGTGGTAGGCCTCAAAGGCAGAGGCATCCTTGCCGAACAAAGCTTCCGCCTTGCGGCTGGTCACCGAGTAGAGCTGCTCATTGATGTACCGAAAGCGGCCGCCCAGGAGCTCGGTTTGGAGTTTGCTGGCCAGCGAGCTGGTTGGTGCAGGTGAGGGTGCCGTCTCCATGGCCTCCACGGCTGCTTGGGCGAGTTCTGGCTTCAGTTTCAGTTCCTTTTTGCCGCCTTTTGCGGCCTGCGTGGGCGGACGCTGCTTCTCGATTCTTCCTACTCTCACTTTGTGCATGGCACGGATGCCATCTTCCATGTCGTCGTCATCGTCATCTGAGGAGTTGGAGGAGTTTCTGGAGGGCGGTGCCAGTGGTCCAGCGCCTTGCCGGTAAGTGAATTTGTCGGCCGCCTTGGGGGTCTTGGTCTTGGCAGTCTTGTCTTTCTTTTTGGGTTTCTTTTTCTTTGGCTTCTTGGTGGCGGCGACTCCATTTCCCGCGGGCTTTGCAGTCTTAAAATTCATAATCTCAGCTCCATTTTCCCAGGTCGGCACGGCAAAGGGCTGCATTTTGCTTGAAGACAATTTGTAAACAAAATAGAAGAAACACGTGAAGGCTGATTAATGTGGCATAACGCCTTTTACGAAAAATACCAAAAAACGCATTTATGAGTAATGTACTATCGCGTTTTGGAGGTAAATTGAGTTGTTCAAAAGTATTCGAAATTTTCGAAATTCATTTGATTATTTATCAATATTAATTCTTAAAAAATTAATAATTTTAAAATGTACACTATTAATTTTTTAGCCCAAATTAGAGGAAAATTCATAGAAATTAATATACTAAACCGAGGTTTACTTAAATATATTCATTAAAAAATAATTATTAATAAATTAACAGGTTTGAGTTACTGAAAACTTTTTAAAATATTTTATAATAAAATAAAATAAAAATAATAATTACAAAAAAAAAAAACATTTTAAATTTCTTTCTAATTTTTTTCACAGAATTTTTAAATTTTAAAATTCCCCTAAAAAATCAATCAAAATTTAGAACTACAATTAAAAAACACCTCCTTGTTCTTTTACATACTTGTTTGTTTGTTTCTTTTTATTCTTGCACTAAACTAGAGTTCAACAATTTTGTGGGCTTTATCTGGTATGCTTTCCGTTTTATTTATTCCTCTGTATTAGTTTTGGTAATTTTCGGTTTTACGCTTTGTTTATGAACTAAATAACTTAATTGCTAGCTGAATATTTTTACAACTGAATTAGCGACGAAAAGTGCTGCTCTGTTCGGAGAAAGTCAGTCGCCCCTCTCTGTAACATCGCCTCCTAGCTTACAGCCTAGAATCGTAACTATGACAATCAGTTTGTTTTTTGAGAGACAGACCTTTTGTTTTTTTTTTAATTTTGCATTTAATTTAATTCGTGTTAATTCGTGTTTACTAGGTTATAGAAAAGTCCTTACTGGCTAAGTTTTTGTTTCCCAACAAACCGTATATCATCGCATTTACCCCACCCAAGTCCCGTTCCCAAATCCCTATTCCTAACCCTTCCGTTGCGATTTCTTTTTCTCTTTTTTTGAGCCAATTGAAAGCTAAAAACGTTGCGATTTACAATGGCTATATGCGATCTAAGAAGTACCTTTATTAGTGGCTAATTGCGGGTGAATTTGTGTGGCTAAATGCGTACCATAAAGTGTATGTATATAGTTGGGATCTCTCCTGACTACTGACTATTTGGGAAACGTCGTCTCTATATTAGGGGGGAGGCTTGTGTACACAAAAATCTCTAACGTAACTCTAGCCGTAATGCGTAGATCATTTATAAAGTTAGTGTGTATAAATTAAAGCATTTCTTTTTTGTAATACAAAAATATAACTACAACGGAATCAGGGGGCAGATATCATGTGTCATCGGGCTGCCTCTTCTAGGTGCGTTTAAAATTGCGCTAAGTCTAAGCTATCTCGAACGCTTCTCTCTATGATCAGTGATTAGCTCACTGCCTTAGCCTACGAGTAATTAAATTACAGTTAATAGTTGACGACGACGGCGGCGGAGGCGGCCCTTAAAACTTGGTTTTCTTTTTTATATTTAAAATATAACATTGGATTAAGCGGGGCGTCTAAGTAGCTTAGTAGCTGGCCTCGTGCCCGGCCAGAATGTACAGATCGTGTCCCTCCTCGCTACCCAGGGAGCCGGTCCTCAGCAGCTGGCTCTCCAGGGCCACAACCCTGATAAAAATAAATGAAATAGGATTAGTTTTCTCTTTTATAATTTCGAATTTGAGTGAAATCTTACTTATCGCTGCCCAGCAGCCTGTAAGTGCGACTCATGTCTTTGATTTCCTGCGTGATTTCGCCATTGCGTAACGACTTTCCCTGCATGCCATGCTTGTGGAAGGCCAGCACGCTGTCCGGCAGGCAGACTAAAAAATACAAAATGTATTTAAAATATTATTTCAAAGTATATTTAATCAGCCTACCAATGCTGTCCACATTAAAATCAAAGTTCAGCTGCGATACCATCTTCTTGTGCTGCTTGGGGTTGCCCTGCAGCGTTACCACCTGCATTACATTGCCATAGCAAACGAGAATGGCGTCCTTCTCCACCTGGTGCACACGCACCACCTTCAGCAGGTCGCGTCGCGGCACCATCGTGGCCATGGCGTCATACTCCAGGTCCTCCGAATGGAACCAGCTGGCACCTACAAAAAATATAACCTATATAATCAATCCTTGAATCCTAGATTCCTTGCACTCACTGTTCATATTGATCAGCTCCAGCTTGAGGCAGCCGTTCATGGCCTTTCTCACACCCGTACACACAATGGGATACTCCAATTCGGGCGTGATAATCATCTCAAAGACGGGCGTGTGTCCATTCTGAACACAGCCATGTCCTCCGCCCTGGATACTAATGGCCGGCCACTCGCATTGCTTCAGCAGCATGAACTTGTTCAGGGGATCGTACCACTGCATCAGAAAGATGCCGCTGGGCGTGGCTCCGCACAGATATTTGTAGCCATTGTACGGATTCCGGGTGACACAGCACTGCGTGCAGCCTTTTGTGTCTGGCACCTTGGTAGTCAGAGCGAATTTGCGGGGCACCAGACGCTCCGGGATCTTGTTCATGTGCAGCGAAAAGCGAACCGTCTGCTTGGAGTGCAGGGCCACCAGGTCGTGTCTATAAAGCTGGCAGGATTTTCCTGTCGGAAAATTAATATTAAATAAAGGATCTACTTTATAACAAAAGAGTCTACACCAACCCGACAGGCTCATCAGCACATCCTTGATCACATACAGCCAGGTGGTGCGTCGCGGGAACAACTGATCTATGGCCGCATCGTGGAGCTCATTCATATTGAGGTTGTAAATGCCCTCCTCGGCGCCAATCAGCAAATGCTGATCCCTTGTCTCCGGGTGAATCCACGAGGCCGTGCAGTGGACACGCAGCGGACAGCCATTGAAGATCTTGGAGAAGCAGGCACCCATATGAACCTTGGGTGTGGGCGGCAGGCCATTGGAGATGGGCCGCGGTGGCGTATGACGGCGCTTGTGGGAACGTTTAGGAGGAACTGGAGGCGTGTTATTCAACAGATCCGGTTGGGCCTCCTTCTCCACTGCTTAAGAGATAAGGAAATTTATACATTTCTGGAGTACTTCCAAGCAAAGACTCACCTTCATCATCATCCTGGGTGCCGCCATCGCTCAAGCTGCGTGTCCGCGACGACTTGCCCATGTCATTGATCAGCCCTATAAGCTGATCCATGGAGCTATGGCGACGAGGCGAGTCCTCCAGACCATTCTGTGGGTTTTCAAGAACAAGATTACTTTTGGCTAAGGCTTACTTCTAGCTTAGAAAAGCTCACCTGGTTGCTCTCGTGCCGGTAATCACAGTTATTGCCGCCCGCTGCACTGCTAGAGCCCGCTGGCGTCTCGCTCGAGCTGCTCCTCAGCAGGTTCTGGTACAGATGCGAGGAGTTCGAGCTGGAAGAGGCCTCCTCGTTGTCTCTGGTTCCACTCGCTCCTGTTGTTGTTGCCGTCGCTGGGCACTTGGAATGCATGTAACCATCGCCCACGGACAATGGCATGGCAGCTGGTGGTGACGCAGCATTTCCCTCCACCTCATGCTTGTCCAGGAGGCCATTGGTATTGGCACCTCCTGCGACATTGGTACCGCTGCTGCTGCTATTGCCACCCACTGCATCGCCGCTGCAATTATCGAGGAGTAGGAGGCGATTATAAAACGAAGCTGTTGATGACGCGGACGCAGAGGATGAGATCGGTGCTTGGCCATGACCGTGCCCATGCCCGTGCCCATGGCCGTTGTTCGCCTGTGATGCCTGGGCCGCGGCGGCCGAGCGATAGTTGCTGCTGTAGCGGAGATAGTGAGCCGCAGAGGCAGAGCAACCGGTTCCGGAGCCGGCACCAGCAGCAGCTGCAGCGGCAGCGGCATTATTCATTGCCACATCGGCAGCCATCAGATCATCGTCGTCATCGCCACCCACATCGTGGTTGTCGATGCTGGTGGTGCGCAGGTTGGACAGCCCCAGGCCAGGGCTCATGCCCAGGCCCAAACCCAGGCCCAGGCCGAGGCCCACATGGCTGGAGCCCATGCCCATGCCCAGATAGGCACTCAGGCCCGGCATGGAGGCCAGCGAGGCGGACGAACTGATGCAGTTGGAGTTGGCATTAGAGGTCACCGAGCCGCTGGAAATGGACGAGGTCATTGGATGGTGGTGCTGATGGTGCTGCTGCTGCTGTAGCTGGGCCTGAGCCTGAGCCTGAGCGGGCAGATGCTGATGATTCTGCTGCTGCTGCTGTTGCTGCTGATGGTGGTGATTCGGATTGGGATGGTGAAGCTGGTGGTGATGCTGGTGGTGCTGATGGTGCTGATGGGTGGTGCTGGTGCCTGCGACTCCGCCTCCGCTGCTGCCGCTGCCGTTTGCCGCCGCCCCGCCTGCTCCCGCTCCACCTCCTCCTCCGACGCCTCCTCCCACAGCCGCTGCTCCATTGTGGGAGGAGCAGCTGCATTCGGTGGAGCCGCCGCCGCCGCTGGTTGTGCTGGCCAGTAGTGGGTCTTTGGTGTCGTTCAGTGGCAAGGTCGCTCTGCAGACCATTTCAGACGGACGAGAGGGAGAGAGAGAAAGAGAAGAGAAGAGAGGTTGCCGGTTGCTTTGAGCTTCATTCAGCGATTTCTGGGGGGGGATTTACTGAGGGGCAGCGTGATTGGGTGGACTGAGTACTGAGAGTGGTTCTGTGTGGAGTTCTCTTGTGTGGCGGAGGAGGCAGGAGCAGCTACTACTGACCGCCCGGCTCATCCAGTCTGTCTTGGTGTTTTTGGCATGCACGAGGGGTAGGGTTTGGGGATGTATATCGAGAGGAAAAGTTCGATATTGACAAAAATATCGTACTTATATCGAACATTTTTTGTAGAAAATATCAAATTTAACGTTAAATATCGGTATTATCGAAATTCCGAATAATAAACAACATCAAACAAATTGTTGTTAATTTATTTGTAGATTTTTACGACAATTTTATTCCGATATATAACAAACAAAAAATAAGATAATGGTAAAAAAAATATATCTCAACATTTAAATATCGCTTTATATTTTGGCTTTTGGGTAAAATATCGATTTATTTATCGACTTTTGAATCTTTTATCAATACTGTAGCGATTTATCGATACAATATCGTTCAATTATGCCCTTACTAGGGGTTTTATTCTATTTACTTGACTCTTGTATGTTTTTTTCTGGTCACATGCAATCGAAATGATAAACTGCCTCTAAGCGGATTACGCTCTTAATGAAATTATTTGCGGAAACGTGTCCTGATGAAGTTCTAGTTGCCTTTTTTTTCTGTGAGACGTGCGAGTTAAATAAATAAATAAATAAACTAATATGAGGCCATAAATTATGCATGAGATGCAAAGCATAAAATGCTCAAACATCCAATGGAAATGGGGAAAAATGCTTGAATAGAAAATTGCCTCGCACATGAATGCACAGAAAACAGGAAAATGTGGAAAATGTAAAGAGAAAGAGATAGAGAGAGCAAGAAAAACAGAAACAGCAACAGTAAACAAAAACAGCAGCAGTACAACAACAACAACAAAAAAATGGAAAAGAAAGTGCTGGGAAAATTAATTCTAAAAACAAAATGCGAACAATTTAGCCCAAAAATAAAACAAGATGAAAAAACAAACAAAATTTGCTGGAAAATCTCAACAGCTGCAGAGGAAAACTCAGAGAGAGAGAGACGGAAAGCCAGACTGACCCCAAGGAATCCCATTTCCCATTTGCCGAATTAGTTTTTTGAGAATTTTCAGTTGATGTTAGCATAATTGCAATTTGTTTTTCATCGTGTTTTCCCCCCGAGGCCGCAGAACAGCTTAGGCTTTTGCCCCCTCAATCAATATACAAACAAGAAATAGGAATCGAAATAAATGCTGCATATATTTTAGGACAGAGATTTCGGGGTCCAGGATCCTCCTGGCTACGTGTGGCATTACTTTTTGTTTGCACTCCAGCTTGGAGCAGGAGCAGTGTAGCTTGGGCCAATAATAATAATAACAATAAAAGCAATGTGACGGCCATTTGCACACACATCAAATAAATAAACAATAAACATGGCGGAAAAGGGTGTTCGGCAGTGAAAGGACCTGTGAAAAGGAGCCGAGCACAAATCGAGCTACAACCCAGTGAGGCATAAATTCTGACCAAAAATATAAACCAATTGTCCTGTATAAATTAGTTGAGAATACTAGAGACACTGTTGTGTGTTTCTGGGCAAATAATTGAGCCATCGATGGGGTCATTTCGGGCTACCCACGGTGCGTATACGTAATCTCGCTCTCTCTCTCTCTGGGTTGTTTCTACGAGTTTTTAGCTATTTCTATTCGATAGACAAAAGGCAAAAGTTTAGGCGAAATACGAGAGAGAGAGAGAGAGAACAAAGCCTCGCCCCACAGACAATAAACCCACAAAACAAAGGCCTCTTCTTTTCTACTACGACAAAAAAAAATAAAGGAAAACGAACGAAAGTAAAAGAAGTTTGGCAAACAAAGAATGCCAAAGTGGAACTAACTTATGGGAAGGAAGAAAAGAGGAGGCACAGAACACAGCAGCCGTAACTTAATATGGTTTATAAATGGGCGCAGAGAAAGCGTAATGAAAATGTTGCTACGACGAGTATCGGCAGTAATAAACCAAGGTGCTGCCGCCGCCTGCCTGGCCACAAGATGAGCTCCTGCCTTGGCTGTTCATAATGATAATGATGCTGCTGCTCCTCTGCTGGTTCTGTTGCAAGTCTGGCATGGCTGCGTGTGGCCTGTGAAGGCTGCGTATCTGACGGCTGTCAGGATACAGGATAAACTCGCACAAATTTGCAAAGTGTGCATGTGAAGAGGTGGCAGAGTAAGGAGCCAGGAGCTTCGTTACTTGCTGAGATGAACTTAGCGTTAAATCAAAGTCAAATTAAGAGTTTTGCATGGTACAGAAAATATGTAGGTAAGCGATGTTAACTAGGAACTTGGAATTTCCAGCAGCTAAATCGAATAACGAATTAACTAATTAGTTGGTGGTATTTTTCTTTAAGATTTTAAAAATCTTGAGATTTGAAACCGTCATAAAATTTCAGCTAAAACTATGCTATGTTATTTTTTAAGTCCAGCAATTGACATAAAACAATTCATGCTTTTAACCCAATTTTAATTTGGTTTCAAGTCTTAAAATATGAGTCTTTTAAAAATGTGTCTAAAAGTATGCTACGTTATTTCGTATCCCTGATATAAACTCTTATTTGCCATTGCATACTTTTAGCCTGCATTTTTAATTGTTTTAAAATCGCCAAACATCGTTTAAATCATACTTAAAAGCTTTTCAACTTGTTATTTGTTCATGAAAATGCTTTTCCTACATCTAAGTGCCTCTGTAAGTTGGTCCATATATTAGGATTTTGCCAATTTCAGGTTAAACCATCAATTTCAAAAAACCCTCGGTGTACAAAAACGAGGTGTCCTTGTGAGTGTAAAACATGAATTACGATAGAGTTGGGTTGGGTTAGTGTGCTTGAGTCTATGATCTATGTGAAGGGTTTGGGTGTTACACCGAGAAAGAGCCGGGTGGTTCATGTGGGGCTCGAATCTAAAGGAATACATTGGTGGGTGTAGTTACCTTAGCTTCAGCTCCTCATCAATATATTGTAAGAGGCTCCTACAAAAATCAAATACAAAAACAAAAAGAAGATACGGAAAAAAGTCATAAAAATAAAATCAACAAAAAAGATTTCAAGGTGTTTAGTTTTTTTTTTTTCATAAAAAAATCATTTAAGAAAAAGAGAACAAAAATACAAAAGTAGGAAAAGTAAACGGAAGTTAGTTGAGAAAAACCAGTACTTGAAAAACAGTACAGGGAAAAAACCAAAGCTACTATCTCACAGATTGTCAAAAGCATTATTAATAATTATTAAATATATATATATAGATAATCTGGAGTATAAATTGTAATTGTATAAGGTATATTTAATATATTAGAGTGTGTTTTTGCAGTGTTCAGCAGCCCTGGAAATTATTTCTATTAAAGTCGCTATATACTTTAAGGACTTGGAAGTCCCTCGGCATCCTTACGCCCAATTAAACGCATCAGCTAATTTGGCATGTTCATAATTTTCGCCTAATGTCATCTGGCGCAGCCCATTTCCCCACTTGAAGAGCTCCATAAACGGGATATTAAAAAATGTGGCAATTTCTGGCTTGCTTTTCTTGCTTTTCTATGCTTTTCTCCGGAGTTTCCCCCTCATTTTAATTTTTTTTTTCTGCTCAGGCAATTAATAAGGCTCCCTTTTTGTTTGGGTTTCCAGCCACAGCAAAAAAAAAAAATACAAAATGCGTAAACAAAAAGCAAAAAATAAAAATAAATTCCTGTTATACTTTCTGCTTATGACGGTTTAAATGAAATTAACCATGACGGCCGTCAGTCCACCCGCCAAAAGAAAGGCGTAAGACGTAGGACCCAAGAGGGAGCCAGCTTTTTGAGCAAACTTTTTGGGCGCCACAAAGCAGCGGAAGTTGTGGGGGTTTTGGGGGACTGGGGGCGTGGCACTTAGCCAGCAAGTCGCTTGTAAGCAGCGCTCAGTACATAGAAATTGGCGCAACCGTTTTTATGGCTTCAAATAAAATTGAGGGACTGAGCTGAGGCTGGCCTGCATACATAGACATAGAGCCAAGCCACTTGGCTTTGTTGTCTGCCTTGCCGCCAGTTCACCACTCCACCATATTCAAGTGGCGGCTGCCGCAAAGTGTTTGCCACATAACTCAAATCGGGCACTTGCCAGGCGCCACCTCCACATCCTCCTTTTAGTTGCTTCAATCAGCGGGGGAAAGGGTGAGGGGCCAGGGGCTTATTAAACGAGCCAAACTCCTCCATCAGCGAGGCAACAATGTGTAATCATTTAAAATGACAAATGGCAAAGGCACAGAGAAATAGAGGTTTGAAAAGGGGACTAGATTAACTTTACTTATTTTTTCCTGAGTTTAAAGCTTAAAATTTTCCCTTTACTAAAAAATTCTTACTGCTTTTAAGCTTCTTAATTCAAATATAATATTTATATTTAAACCTAAACCCAAAAAAAACCTAGTTTAAGCTGCTTATTTTCTCTCTGTGCCTTTGGCCTTATGGCAGCTGCATTGCTGTGTGCCACGGGGCGTATGCTTGATGTGCCATCCATCTATCCTTTGCCAGGCTCTGGCTCCAGTTAGCTGCGTTAATTGATTTCTTCAAGCTACTTTTTGCCCAGCAACAAACCCTGAGTAGCAACTCCCAGCTAGTTTCAGCTTTTCTACCCTTCCTGCTGTTGTTTTCCTGAATTCTCCTCAGTGATCCCGGGCGCTGAGGCAGCTTATTATTATTATTATTATTATGTTGCAGCCGGATCTTGGGCGAAACTTGTGCTTGCTCTGCTGTGCTCTGCTCCCTGCGTAATTACTTCTGGCCTGGCAATTAAATAGCCCACAAGTTTGCCAAGGTCTGTCCAGGGAATCATGCAATGCCAGGTTGCAATTATACTTGGGAACTTTTGGGGGTAGCTCTAGGTAGCTAGGAGTATAGGGATTCGCACTCGTCCATGGAGTGGATGAAAAATTCACAAGTTGCCAAGGCAGACACGTAGCGGCAACTAAGCGCAAGCGTGTATAACAGCCATACCACATACACATGAAAATGCAGCAGCAAAATAGTATACGAAATACGTAAGTAAACACATAGCTGGCTGCCCGGGAAAACGTGCTTCTAAAAGAAAAAAAAAAACGAATCAACAACAAAATATGGACTGTCCAAAAGTTCCGAGCAAATTACACACACACAGCAAGGCGAGGCGTGCTGTGGCCACCGACCGCCAGCATAAAAAGCGCAACATGCAATGCAGTTTTAGCCCCCTTCTTGCACCAGGCCAAACCTTAAAGACATGTTCATAATCAGGGTGCCGCTCAATTTCGGTTTGGATCGCCTACAACTATAAAGAGAAGAAGAACGGAAGAAGTGGCTATAGAATGGTTTAACTAATGGCTGATGGCGTCCACTATCCTCAGGACAAAAGGCTGACTCTGGCTTGCGGGCTGCATTTAGTAGGAGAGAGTAGAGTGGAGTGTAAGTGGTGTGTCTTTTTGTGATAGTGTGTGTGTGAGAAAACTGAAACCGAAGTACCAAAACCCAAGTCTCGCAAGTAAGAAAAACCATAGTGTTTCGTAGAAAATAAACTGTAGCATAGGTTCAGGCATAGAGAAAACGGAGCGGAGATATAAAGAGCTCGCTTGCTAGCAAACTCCACTTACATGTCACTGGGTAACGTCTCGGGACTAGAAGATCGCTCATTCCTCCACGTGGAGTTCGTCATGCCTAAGGGGGAGAGAAAAAGCGAAGAATTTGATTAGAAATAGGTAAGAAAAAGTAAAGGAATAAGAAAGAAATTAACTAGAAAAGACCTTAAATTAGTTAGAAAAGATATACTTATAAGATGCATAGCTTGCTATATTTTTAATGAAAGGTTTGTCTATAAAAACTTTAATCTACCAAGAAAAAATCCACAAGAAACCGTAAAAATAATGAAAACTGACCAAGCAAAGTGGCTATTATTATTTTAATGAACAATTAACTTTACCTATAGGTAGATTTAACCTAAGAAAGCTCACCTGTTTTTAGTGTGTGATTTAACGCTGGCACGCCATTGGTGCGCGACGTCATCTTGCTGGGAATGCGCTGAGGCACACTGGCCACCGCCTGGAAAAAAGGCAAGGAGAAAACAGGATACATTAAGAGGCGGAAACAAGAACCAGAAGAAAGGGAAGTAGCTTCAACCACCCCATCGTCACTCATTCGGCGACAAAGTTTCCGCTGAGCGATAAAATCTCATAAATCAAAATCATATTGGGATTTTAGAGCATGATGCGTGCTTTTTGCAAGTAAAACAAAAAAAAAAATAATACTAAGCTAAGTAAAATTTGAATATCTAAGACTAGAGAGGAGAAACTTATTTGCTTGAGGCGTCGGCTGCTCCGCAAAAGTTTTGTAAAACATCCAAAACAAATTGAAGATTTATGAGTTGACAGGAGCTGCCTGTCTGCCACCCTGGGAAAATGCCTTTAAAATGGCTGTCTCTCAATGTGTGTGTGTGTTTGCCTGCTGGCGGAATCATTAAACTTCAATTTGATTTGGCATTTGCAGCTGTCGTTAAGTAATGTCTAGACAGCTGCATTAGTTGTGAAAATTAATTAGGTTGTAGAGGCAGCAGCCGTTTCCCTGAAACTTTAAGGCTCTCCAAAAAGTGTGCGTGTGTCTAATGGCGCCGTAAATCCTTGACCAATCCTTGCTCCTTGAGACGCAGCTTTTATCCCTGCCTTTAGCTAAAAGCGTAAATAAATTACGCAAAAGGTGGCACAAGTGACTTACTTCCTCGTCCCCATCCAGATAGTAGTAAAACTGCTGGTTGGGACTTTGGTACTTTTGCAGCAACTCCTTGGCCACCCGCAAGGACATCTCGCACTGGACAAACGGATGCTGCAGCAGTCGCTCGGCGGTGGGTCGCTTCTTGGGGTTCTTCGTCAGCGCTGTTTTGATGAAATTGTGAAAGGTGGGACTCCACTTGTCCTTGTTGTTCAGTGTGGGAGGCTTAAAACCGCTCTTAGACATCAAAAAGAGGGCGCGCATCGGATGCAAATCGAACATGGGTGGCTGAAGTTCCGCCAGTTCTAGTTATGGAAAGTTATTAATTAGTTTAAATTGAATTAAAGGGAAGCTAAAGGTAGCTTTAACTTACCGATGGCTGTGATGCCACAGGCCCAAATATCACATAATTGATTGTAGCCGCCCTTACGCTCTACAGCAGCCACTTCGGGAGCCATCCAATAGGGTGTACCTGGGATTAAAAAATATATATATTAAATATATTCGTTATATCAACTATTACACAATGAGATTGCATTAATAGTCTTTATTTTTTTGCTGTTCTTGCTAATTATGCAGCATTTAATTTCATTGTCATTGCTGGCGATTATATGCCTGTCATTTATTCATTTTATTCCGGCTGTTTTTAATTTAATTAGCTTTTTTTTATATCTCACCAAATGTGACAATTGTGCAAAAATAAACAAATTGCTGAATTATGCAGAGAGCAGAGGTAATCAAAGTCCCCAGACTCTGGCACACAACGCGCGCGTCGCACGTTTTATGAGGGAGGCTAATGCGTCCATTACTCATACGCCATGTTGCAGCGAGGCAAGAATTTTCGCAACAGCAGCAGCAGCAGCAGCATCTGCTGGAGTAGTTTCACTTGGATGGATGCCTGAAATGTCGCCTCCGAGAAAATTAATTTTCCTTCTAGCAAAGTGGGGAAAACTCAGCAAAGTCGTGGCAGTTAATTGTATTTTCAATTTAATTAAACCACAACGAAGGTGGAAAATCAGGTTTTCAGGGCTCTTTGATATATGGCCAAAAGACTTTTCCGAGTTTACGGTATATGTATACCCCCAGAGGCCGTCATCATCATTGTTTCCGCTGCTGTTTGAAAGCCAGGACAAAGTGAACCGGAATCGAACTCGAAGGGGGGAGTTCTACCAACTGAATTCCCCAGGAACTTTCGTATGCATTTTAATTAAAGGGATCGAGATACCAATGATACACAAACACACACACAGAGAGAGAGAGAGAGCAATTTCATCCGCAAAGTGACAGGAGCAGAGGCAGCAACAGCCAGTCAAGTATCATTTTGTTAATTGCTGTTGAACTCAAAAAAAAAAGAGGAAAAAAAAGCGAAGTCAAAGTTGGTTGGAAAAAAATTAAAGAAGACAGGCAGGCCAGAATTAAATGCTAGCTGCTGGCTTTTAGGCTGCAACTCTATTTAAACCAAGACGCATTTCCGTCAACTCGCGGCCAGGGAGACATTAGAGCCAGACCTGGCACACACACATCCACTCTTTATGGCATAACTGCGGCTGGAAATAAGGGAAATACCAAAGCGAAATAGGGGGCGTAATGTGGTGTAAGTGGGTGTGGTTGCTCCTCCCTGCCCATCGTGTGTGTGTGTGTTGCCATTGACTTGTTAATGACACTAAACACAAACGTAAGCACCTTTTTATTGAATAATAAAAGCGTCAGGCTGTCGCCATTTCCAAAGGCCCCTGACTCTGTGTCTGTGTTCCTCTCTCTGACTCTGACTCTTTGGAGCTTTGTCTTTTTTTCTTGGTTTAATGCATTAAAAAAAGATATAGTGCCCTTGGTGAATCGGGATATAAGTGCTGGGAGTTTTAAAATGCCTTTTAGGGTGGTTTAAAAATATTTAAATGGTTTTAAAAAGCAAAGGAATTCCATTTTCTACAAACGATAAGGCTAGGAAAATCATTTTAAAGCTGATTTTATACAAGATTTTGGTCTTAAGAGCTCATCTTTACCATTAGGCTTTATCACAAGTGTCTTAAGTGGCTTGAAATTTCCTTTTAAAGGGTGTACTGTGGGGATTAGATTTTATTCCCAGGAAATTTGATTAATTTTAATAATTTTAGAAGTGGTTTTACCTTTTAAAAGGCTTAGTTTGTGCAGAAATAAATATTATATTTCAATATCTACTCTTAGGAAACTTTTTTTCTTTAACTTATAAATAATAATATCTTTTTAAACTTATAAAAATAAATGTTTTTAAGATTTCTTAAGACTTTTAAGCATTTAGAACCCTAAGAAAACCTCTGAAACATTTAAAAGCCATAGATTACAATTCTTATTTGCTTAAAAAGATGTAATAAAAACCTTTTAAAAATTCCAGGAATTTTTAGAACTCTTCTATTGTCCTGGTATCAGTTTCATCCTTGAATGAGCTCCCCTATCGCTGGCATCCTTGTACCAATCGATGGCAGCTCAGCAATTGACTGCTGCCAAACATGTATGAATGAAGTGTCAGCGATTCGGGACTTGACCTCGTGCTCATATGCAGACAAGAGTCCTGGACGAGGACGAGGTGAAGTCTAGGTGGATGGTGTGTGTACACACTTATCACCACATTTGTCACAGCAGTCGCAACACAGCAGTCACAATGGGTGAAAGCTGAATGGCAGGGAGCTCTAGCCAGCTCTCCTGCGGAATGATAACAGTAAGCGGACGTCACATTGTTTGACAGCTTCACACAAAACAAGGAACAGGGAACAGGGAACGGGAGGAGATAGTGTGCAGAAAGGGTGCTGGATCCCAGACAGACTCCCCACATTGACATGCCACAAAAGATGCTCGCTCAGCTCGAAAACGTCATGAAAATGCAGCAGCCAAAAGTGGCAACAAAGAACTGGAGGAAACAAAGGGGCAAAGCGGCGACCTCAAGGTCGTTAAACTTGATGCTTCAGCCACGCCCCAACTCTCCTCTATATGTATATATTTTTTCAGAATTTTTCGCTGCACAAATTGCAGCACATTAATCACACACACACACACCCTCTCTCCAGGACTTGTCCATTCAAATAAATCTGAAATCAAATTAGCGCTCTGCGAGTTTGCTTTATGGCAGCTTTTCGCTTTTACGACAGGACTTGCGACTCTCTGAAGGACAAAAGCAGGCATTAAAAATTAAACTGCTCGAGCAGGAATAGGATAAATCCAATTTGGCGTAAATGAAATCAAATCAGATGCCGGTTTTTATGTGCCCCCGCTCTCAAAATGTCATGAACTTTGACTTGACGTGGACTTGACTTGGCTTAGATTTTATTAGCGACAGGACATCCTGGGTTTTATCCTTTCTTTTCAGAGAATAAAGACTCAGCAGAGAGCCAGCAGCTGTCATAACTTAATTAGCTGGCGAGTGTCAAAGGCGCTCGATGAAGGGTTGCTAGAATTTTAATTAAGTGCCAGGGCAAAGCATTTGAAATAATTAATTGTGAGCCGTGGACAGGACTTAAACTGATGGCCTTCGTAACCGCAAAATCTCATTTTGTAAAGTCTTGGAACTATGGCAAGACTTTTGTGGAACAAAAAACGAGATACTGTTGGCTCATGCAAATCATCGTCGCTTCGTCTGCTCGTCGCTAGATTGCAAGTTGTCATGACACAACCTTCCCTCTTATATATAATATTCTTTTTTTTGCAGCACATGGCCTGTGACTGATAAGTTGCTATTTACATTTAAATTGCGTATACCACACGTGGGCCCCAGCTTAAGGGGGTAAAGAAAACAGAGTTTAAAGCAGGGAAATACAGGAGAAAAATATTTAAATATACAAGAAATCAGGTAAGACTTTAAAAAGGGATAAAGAAAGCTACGTTTAAAGCAGGAAAAAGCGAAAGTAAAATATTGTAAAATAACAGAAATTTGAATTCAACTAAATTTATTTGAAATTAAATATTACAAGTTTTAAAATTGCTTATAAAATTATACAAAGTCTTTATATATTTTTCCCCAACTGTTTTTCTCTCTCTTTGAGCTAGAAAATTCCTTGGCTGAGATTGCAAAAGCAGCTTAGCGTTGCAGCAAAGCTTGAGAAAAATTACAAAAAAACTGAAATCTATTAGTGGCCACAAAAAATAAGCAGCTGAAGTGGAAGGAGCACAAGTAAGCAAAGAAGTAAGAGGAAGCCTGTTTCTGCCCACAAAAGAAGTAGCCAACAAACTAAGACGAAGCCAAAGACGACTTCTCCTCCTTGAATTGGGACATTTTTCAAAAATTATTTGCTTTTGTGCTACACAGTTTTCTACAACAAAGGACTGAAGGCAGAACTCCCTAACTCCCCGTACTCCATTCCCAGCAGGCTGGGGCAAACAAAGAACCGTCAGGTCGGGACCACCTGCTGGTTTTGGATACTTATGTCCAGTTAGAAGAAGTCCTTCTGCATTTGAAATATTCCGTAAATTGAATTGTTCCCTCTGGAGGAGCATGGCCATAGCATTTTGATTGTATCTGAGGAAGGCATTATAATGCTACTCCTAATTGAATTGCATTCAATTGGAGACTCCATTCAGGGAAGAACCACTCGGACGTATACTTGATTTTCCGCCTGCCCCACTCTCCTTCCTGGTGCGTGTTATTTGTGTGTATTATTTTTTGTGCTCTGTCATTTCTGACAGCTGTTTAGAAGCGTTAAACGCAATTGTTGCTCCTGTCAGGACACTCGGCACTCGTTTTTCTGCCTTGATACTTTGCTTTTGTGCACACAAAAACAGGATCTCATAATGATAAACACTTTGTGTGACAGCAGTCAGCAGGCCGAGGCTCTATCTCCGCCCCCACTCGAACTCTCGACTGTGAGTGACTTCCTCGTGGGCGAGTGTCCTTGATGCAAAACGATTTCGCAGTTTTTCTACGGGAAAATGATTGCTGAGCCAGCAGTTTTCCCAGGGACAGGCTGACGTGGAAAATCGATCGATCTGTTTAATCTGCATAAAACCACTAGGGACGATGAGTCTTTGAATTTATTTTTGCAGGAGAGATAATAGGTTTTCCAACCAAGAACTTCTTCTAAAACTATTTCTTTTCCTTTAAAATTAATCTTTAAAATTGAATTAAACCTTAAACTCACCTATGAAGCTCTTCCTTTTATTAATTGTAGCTGTTATTTGCGCAGACACCCCAAAGTCCGCCAGCTTGACATCGCCATACTCCGTGAGAAGGATATTTGCACCCTTGATGTCCCTGTGCATCTTGCCCATGGAGTGCAGATACTCTAAACCCTTGAGCGTCTCTCGGCACATGTAGGCTATCTGGACTTCGGTGAGGGGTCCTGTGACCTGGTAGATATCCTGCAGACTGCCACCGCCACAGAACTCCATGCAGATCCATAGCTTGTCCCGGCGCAGGTACGATCCATAGTAGGCAATGATGTTGGGGTGACGGCAATCCCGCATCATGATGATCTCCTGCTGGATGATCTGTATATCGTCGGAGGGTTCCAGCTTGATGACCTTGATGGCGGCTAGCTCATTGCTCTGTATCCGTTTCGCCTGTAAAAAAAGAATAGAGAAAAAGACTAAAGTCAATATGCAAGTAAAATGGGAAAAATATAAGGTTAAGGGTGGGATTTTTCATTGGCTGCACACCTGCAGCAGCAGCAGCATCTGGGGCACCTGCCTCTCCTCCCCCTCCTTGTGTTCATCTTCGCTCATGCAAATATTCCAGCTCGTTTTCAATAAATTTTTAGCGAGCAAGCAGCGCTCTCTTGCATATAAAAATGCATTGTAACCACTTCACAATTTACCATCCCTTCCTATAGTCTTTCTCCCACCTCCTCCCCAGTGTATTTGCATAGAACAATAAGGAAAGGGGGTGAGTGGGAGAAGCCCATAACCCACTACCATTCCCCCAATCAGCAAATCCGTATCATCGTCGACGTCATCAAGCGGAAACCTGCGAATGCCTGCGAGGAATATTAAAAGGCTGCCAGGCAGAATGCCAACTGAAAATCGGTTTCAATTCAAACTGAATAATGAATAATTATGCCTGAAATAAGTGGGTGTAAGAGAATATGTTAGAAAAATAGAAGGGATTTTTAGAGGAGTTTAGTCTAGGATTTAAAATTTCTATTTTTATTACTATATCCTTTACTTAACTCTAAATCAAAAGCTTAGTTTTCTGCAACAAACTAATTTCTATATCCCAAATAATTTATAACCTTAAGATTTGTTGATAAAAACTGTCCATAAATAACTTGAAAACTAAATAACTAACAGAGAAAGAGAGACTGCAATTATTTTCCATAAATCCGCTCCGCTTGATTTGATAAATTTTCATTTTAAAACCATGAAAAATTTATACTGGCTAAAATAAAAAAATAAAAACTTAACGAATCTGTGAAAAAGGCAACTATTTTTGGGTTTAATTAAGATAACAACAAATAAATAAACAAGGTAAATGTATGAAATGGATGGGAAAAAGAGTTTAGATTAAAAACTTTTTAGTTAATTGAGTTTAACTCAATTTAACTCCTTGAAATTATTGAACCTCCTGACAAAAGTCACCTCTTCAATTACACATAATTATGAATGACCATTTGACCTTTGGGCGGGTGGTACAGCACCCTTTCCCCCTTTGTAGTAGCCATTTTACCTGATCATTAAAGCCCGACGAAATGTAATTTGGCCAGGAAGTTGCCGCTGTGACCAGTGAGTGTGGATGCCCATTTAAGAGCCTGGGCTTTACGCTTCAGAGCTCGCTGCAATAATTTCGCCACGGTTCGTTTGTATTTGAGCCAAGCGAAGCGTGGGGGGTTGGGGGGTGGAATCCTTCATGGACCACACACAGACACAGAGCCCTGTGACAACAATGCATGTGTGTGTGCATGGTATCCACTTTCAGGCAGGCTCTTCTTCTCCCTGCGTCTTCACCTGACTCTCCTCGCCGCTCTTCTGTTATCCTTTATCCTTGACGGGGGCGTAGAGGCAGACGTGTACATGATTCCACCATTTATCCCTGCGTCGTGTACTCGTATCGCCCACGCCAGAAGCCGAGACTCTTCTGCGCTCTTATTTTTATTTTCGTTGCATTTATTATTCAATGCGGTAGTTGCTGGGCCGGATTGGGCTCCTGCGCAGGAGGAGAATACCTCGCCTTGTTTGTCTTGTGTGTAAGAGTGTGGGTATGTTGTTTTTTTCAGCAATGATATCTTGCTCGACTTAATGAAGATAAAGCGATTTTTATTGCAATGCAGCTTCAATCGAGTTTAGGTTGTTTTTGTTTTTCTGGCATTTTTTTTTAGCTGATTGTTCGTGTTCGTCCTGGCTGTTCTGCCTGAATTTTCCTGCCTTTTTTCCATCCTGCATTGTTGCATTTTTTATGTTTTTATTGCAATCTCTGGGCTGGCATCCAAAATTGTTTGCCATACTTTTACAGCAGGCGGCCTCCTGCTATCCTACTCTCCTTGTCTGTTGCTATCTCTATTTCTGGCTTTTGTTTTTTTGTCCCTCTCTGTCTTAGCCCTGTTCCGGATGACAGGCGGCCATCGTCGGCTTTTCTTGTTACTCATCTTGTTTATGGTAAATAAATTATGCGTGATTTTTAGACAAGTTCCCTGCGGCTGACTGGGGAGCAAAGATGAAAATGAAATGTGTTGAGGCAGCATCCCTCCCACATTACTCCCCGCTTTTCCTGGCCCCCAAAATCCACCGCCCTCTCAGCTGTGGTAAGCATAAAAAGCTGCTGATATGCACAAGCCAAAATAGACAAGGAGCCGGGAGTCAGAGCTTCTGCTTCGATGGCTGGAAAGGAAGCGAGCGCAGCACATCCTGCTGCTGCCATCGCAACAACTATCCCCGGCTGCCATCCTGCAGCCATCTCAGAGATATGCAGCATCAACAAATTTATAATGAGCTGTGCGGAGGAGGCTCGGAGGTTTCATCTCCTCCTCCGCCACAACGTTTTCCAACTGCAAAAGTCCCGGGCAAAAGAAACTTTTAATGACTTCTTTTGGGTTCAATTACAGGAGTCACTCCGGCGATTGATTCCTGCCGCACTTCCACTCTTCCGCCACGTATTTATTTTAATTAAAATTGCATTAAATCATTGTCTGTGAAGGCCATTAAGCAGTTGCCTCGCCGGCTTTGGTATTTATGGTGAAAAATGCAACGCCAAGGGGGCTGTAATGTATGCTATACTTTTCACGCCACCCGAGAAGCTAGCAATCAATGGCCATCATCGGCAGGGAGGTGAAAGGTGGGGTTTTGGGGCTTTGGGGTTGACTACGCCGTTTCCTGTGTGTGTCCGGCATGTAATCGTTACAATTTCCGACATATGCTCATATGCATGAGCAGGCCAAGCGGACCCAGAGAGCAGAATATCCTTCCCTTGCCCAGCACTTGCTCCACCTTCTTCTCCTCTTACTTTGGCTTTCAACCTTCCTGTGGCGGAAAAAAGGGGTTTTACTTCTCCTGCGTTTTCCTCCATTCCTCTCTGTCTGTCCTACTTTTCACATTATGCCTGTAATGGATATTACGCGTTAAGCTCGAATTTTCATTCCTGCATTGTTTGCTAATTGCATGGACTGTAAAAAAGTTTACATGGATATATGTACTATATGGTATATGGTTTGGTGAATAACCATTCACCAACTGCGGGGAATTTGTTTTAAAATGGAACAAAAAGTAAATTTCATGTAGAAAATAAATAAAATAACACCTGAGATTGAAGTTTCAATAGATTGCTCTTTGGGTATCCAATTAAAAGCAGAAATGATGAGTGATTTATAAAAGAAAATAAAATAAATTATCCTGTAAAATGCTTTAAAATTACTTTTACCCAACAAACAATCATAAATATCTTGTATAAACTCTCCAAAGGATTATTATTACCATCTCTAGAACCCAAATAATACCACAATATATCCTCTACTATATAAATTATATACCCAAACCAATTTAATAAACTTTTTGTTGACCCAACCATCTATGAAATGTGGACTCATTGAAAACTGGACACGCAGCGGGCTTAATTTCATTGCCGGGGCTTCAATGGGAAATTCATTTAGCAGTCCAAAAATGAAAAGAGCTTAAAATTGTTTCGGCTTAAAAATGGCAGTGCTTCCGCCTGCTATTGCCCTTCGAACTCACCTCATTTGTTTTGCATTTGATGGAAATAATTTATGATTTTAAAAAGGTCGCGCTGACAACGGAAACTTAATTCAATTTGCCGAGACATTTAAATGCATTTATGCTTTTTGCTCACGTTCAGGTTCTCGCGTACAATTGAAATTGAATTACGTTATTGATCGGGCATTTACTCAAATATATATTCCCCACTTGATGTCGGCCACTTGATGAGGGACTTCTCTTTCCGATAACTCATATATTGTATGTATATATATTGGCCACTCGAGTTTATCGATGAGCTCGCAATTTCCCGGCAATTTTCACGCAATGCCAAAAAAAAAATATTGAATATAGTCAGAAGAGGGAAGAGGCAAAAATTCTCAAGTGCCAGACAACCAATCTCAACTGGGGTCTGGGTCACTGCCAAGAGACAATGCCGCCTCACGAGCATTCTCATCTTGTTATTACGCTTTTCTTCTTATTTTTTATTGCACTCCAAGGGCGGGAAATTGAGAATATTTGTCACTGGGGGCGAGACAAAGGGCTAATGGTCCATGGACTGGCCAAAAAATATGCGGCAATCAATCAATCAAAATGCCTAATCGATATATATACGGATGAGCCTCCGCAAATTTGTGGGTGTTAAATGAATTTCAGGTTTACACGGTGAGAAAAAAAATTAGTAAAATATTTTTTTGCAACTTTGTTTTATTGGGAAATTGGGAAATTGTGGAATTAAATGACAAATAAATATCTAGAATATTAAATCTATAATTATGTGCGTCTGGAAACCTCTAGAGAACCCTAATACTATTTTGCAAAATTAAAATGAATTGTAAAATTTTGTTTAGAAATACTTATCTTAAAATTTAATGCCTTATAAATATTATAATCTATAAAAAAAAGGCATTCAACACCCATTATTTGTTTTTATAATCTCAAAAGAGCTTTTAGTATCATTTCAAACAATTTCTATTTATTTTTCCAGCACAATATTTTTGATATCTGTAAATCTTCACATTTATTGAAAATACACATTCCAAATAACCCCAGGGAAATGGCTATAATTTGGTTAATTTTTCACATATTAAATTCGTTATGTGCATTGGTGAATCCCAGAGTTTCGCACTCTCTTTGTTCAAGGGGGATGGGGACTATCCCAACTGATTCAACATTGCGAGAGCAATAAAGATAAAAATTGTGCAATATTTCCATTCAGCGCAGAAATTCAGTGTTTGTCGGTGGTGCCACGCCCACTCCCTACGCCCACGCCAAATATAGAACGGCATTTTGTGCTCATTTTTTTTTTTTTGTTGTTGCTTCTTTTGGCTGCGTGAATCTTTACGGCTGCTTACTGTTTCTGTGTGTTTCCCAGAGTTTGCACCACATGTACGAGTATTTTCCGCCGCAAATATTTGCCATTT